TGGACTCAGAAAAATCAACTTAATTCAAAGTGGAAAAAAGTTTTCTTGCCCCATTGAGAGATATTTGTTCTTGTTTTAAGCAGAAACTCATTTCATTTCCTTCACTTTCAATGGATGTTTTTAAGTTTTGGAAAACAAGACAAACATAGCAAGGAAGATATTCATTTCTGCAGTGTTTGCAACATTTCATGCCATGCTTTTCTGCTCCGATTTAAGACCTTTTAAAGGCCTAATTCGAGGAAGGGCAAATTAAGACTTTTTAAGACCCACAGAAATCCTGATAATAAAAATGATGTATACGACTTGTGCACTTTATACGAAGATTCAGAAGCTATAAGACAGACTTTTGTCTTTATTTACTAAAAATCCTAATATAACTCTCCTTAATGCATTTTTGATTGCTCATAAAATAAATAGTGTTGCTGATTAATGAACAAAGCATCAGTTGATCCAGATGTGAATGCTTCTTCACGGATCCGACTGATCTGGTTCATGAGTTCACATCACTGTGATCGTTCAAACACACTGTATGATTCCAGAAGTTATGTGAACTACTTTAACAATACCTTTATGGTGCTTTTGCTTCCTTTGATGCTTAAAAATCTCCAGTTCTCACTTATTATTTGTAAAAAATACATATTAAAATTATTAAAATCTCTCCTTTTGTTTTTCAAGCCAGACATCTTGTTTGAAACAGCATGGGTGTGAATAATTACAGCCAACTTTTGTAAAATATTTGTGAAATTCTTACCCAGAAAGAACACCCAAAACAAGGTTGAGCACAAAAAATGAGCCGATAATGATGAGAGGAATGAAATATATCCAATTCCATGTCGACCCCAAAGCATCATTAGTCTGCGGAGAAACAACAGCAATCAATGCATAAAGTAAAGCTTTTGTGGAAAATGATCATTTAAAGGTAATTATGGTTATGTTAAATACAGTTTCTGGATAGTATAGTTGTTCATTACAGTGTATTTTTCTTTTTTTTAATTATAGTAATTAATTATAGTGCCATCATTTACTCACCCTCAAGTTGTTCCAAAGCTGTATGAATTTCTTTCTTCTGTTGAACTCAAAAGAAGATATTTTGAAGTATGTGGGTAACCAAACAGTTGATAGTAGCCATTGATTTTCATAGTATGGAGAAAGAAAATAAAATACTATGGAGATCAATGGGGACTAGAAACTGTTTGGTTACCCAAATTCTATAAAATACCTTCTTTTGTGTTCAACAGAATAAAGAAACTCATACAGGTTCAGAGGTGAGTAAATCATGACATAATTTACATTTGTGGGTGTACTGTCCCTTTAAAGGAGTAAAATCATTTATTGATAAGTCAAAGAAGCAGTCACATTAAGCAAAGGTGTTCGGTTCAAGACATCCTAAAGTCATATTTATATTGAAATCACTGCAGGTTTAGTGAATAACTTCAAATGTTAGGTTAATAAGTTTACATAAAGACAAATGATAAAATAAATCCAGTCAGTCAACTATAAAACAGACTTTTTTGAAACGCTACTGCTGTAGGAACTCACATTGTACAGGACAGCAGTCCATCCCTCCATAGTGATGCACTGAAATACTGTTAGCACTGCAAACAAGATGTTGTCAAACTGAGTGATGCCATCATTGGGCCCAATCCAGCTGCCACTGCAGGTGTACTTCTCAGGACACTTCCTCACGCCACACGCAAAATCCACCTCAGACGAGTCCACCGTCTCGTTGTCTGAGGAACAGCAATATTATATGATGCATTCAGTGAGTACACTTATATAAATGTCATTGTTTTGATAAACCACAGTATCATATACATATATATATTTGTTTTATCAAACATGAGAATGCAGTATATTATTGATGCAAGCTTTGTTTGCTTTACAGTTCAAAATAAATAGGTTTACATTATAATCATCCGTTTGAGATCCTCCTCGTCTGAAGGGGGCAGTGTCTGCTATGGCACACCACATTTAGCTTCTCAAGTGGAAGGCTGCAGCCCAGTGAAGCGGCCTTCTCAGTAGACTAGAGTGCTCCTCAGCATTACACGCTAGGATGGCCCAGCCAGCAGGTAACGTTCTCAGAACATTCTGTCAAGGTTCTCTCAAAACGTTCTTCCAGTAACATTAATAAAACAAAGTTAACTGGTCTTTAATAATGTTCTCAAAACATTAGTGACAAAACATTATTTTGGAGCTTTTTTTCTGAAACGTTTTAGTTGGACGTTTGTCTAACATTTAAAAAAAACAAAAAACGCTATTACTTGTTTCATAATGCTCAGAGAACATTCAAAAGTAACATTCCGTTAATGTTTTCAAAATTATAAAATGGAATGTTTCCTTAATGTTAATATAACCAACATTTAAAAAAAATGGATGTTCAGAGAACATTCACAAGTAACGTTTTCATAGCTTAATGTGAACATTAACACAAAAGTATTATTTATACATTGTTCATGGAACTTTTTTTCTGAAACATTTTAGTTGGATGTTCATCAATTTTTTTTTTCAATGTGACCCTGGAGCACAAAACCAGTCATAAGGGTAATTTTTTCAAAATTGAGATTTATACATCACCTGAAAGCTGAATAAATAATATTTCCATTGATGTATGGTTTGTTATGATAGGACAGTATTTGGCTGAAATACAACTATTTGAAAATCTGGAATCTGAGGGTGCAAAAAAATCTAAATATTGAGAAAATCATCTTTAAAGTTGTTCAAATGAAGTTCTTAGCAATGCATATTACTAATCGAAAATTAAGTTTTAATATATTTACTGTAGGACATTTACAAAATATCTTCATGGAACATGATCTTTACTTAATATCCTAATGATTTTTGGCATAAAAGAGAAATGTATAATTTTGACCCATACAATGTATTGTTGGCTATTGCTACAAATATCCCCCAGCGACTTACACTGCTTTTGTGCTGCAGGATCACATATGTTACAACTTGTTTCAGAGCTTTCAGAGAACATTCAAAAGTAACATTCCCTTAATGTTTGCAAAACGATAAAATTTGTATTGTTGGCTATTGCTACAAATATCCCCCAGCGACTTAACACTGCTTTTGTGCTGCAGGATCACATATGTTACAACTTGTTTCAGAGCTTTCAGAGAACATTCAAAAGTAACATTCCCTTAATGTTTGCAAAATGATAAAATGGAATGCTCCCATAACATTCACATAATCAGGATAAATAAATAAATAAATAAAACATCTTAAAAATGGACATTTAGAGAACATTCAGACATGACTTTCAAATGACTTAATTGGACATTAGCGCAAAGAAGTTATTTTTACTTTGTTCATGAAAATTTGTGAAACATTTTAGTTATGTTAGTCTAACATTTTTTAAATGTTACTACTTGTTTCATAATCTTCAGAGAACATTCAAAAGTAACATTTCCAAAATGTTTGCAAAATGATAAAACGTTCCCTCAATATTCGTATAACCATGAACATTTATATATATATATAAATGGACATTCAAAGAACATTCAGAAATAACATTTTAGCACAAAAACTTTTTTGCATTTTTTCAGACATCTTTAAATGCTTCTACTTGTTTTAGAATGTTCAGAGATTTAAAAAGATTCCAAAAGCAACAATGTTTGCAAAATGATCAACTGGAATGTTCCCTTAACATCCGTATAAGCTAGAAAAATCATTTTCAAACGTAAAAAAAAGATGTTTAGAGAACATTCAGAAATAATGTTTTCATGACTTAATGGGAATGTTAGCAAAATATTCTTAGAACATATTTGTGTTAGCTAGGGAGACAGTTTAGCAAGAACACACGGTAATGTCATAAATGTTCACGGCATTAAATTACTTTTACAAATTAATTAGGGAAAATTACAGTATAATGCAATACAGTGAATAACAACCGTCTGTGGTCTCCCAGTGCTTTGTGATTAACCTACAACGAAACAAAAGCAAGCATACGAGCTCAGTGCCGACCCATTTTCTGTAAATTATCTTTCATAATTGTGTGCTAAGGATTGTGGGAGGTCGTAGGACACAGAGGATACACTTGATGAATGATCAAAATATGCTGAATGAAGGGTGCAAAATTAAGGCTGCCTTCCAGGGATCCTTCAACCTTCGATGCAGCCTTCCGATTGAGAAACACCCTAGATTTCACAGCGGAAATGATGTGCAAGGTGCATGCTGGAATCTTTCTCCATTGGTGGCCATTCAAGAAGCTCTGTGTATTCTGATGAAATAAGATCACTGATACAATTCGATGTTGTAACTACACTGCTTCTTTTTGGGAGTGTAAAATAAAAGAGCTGTGGTGCCGTCAGCCAATCACATTCGTCATAATCAGATTTTCCAGTGGCATTTGAGTGATAAGTCACATGGCATTTAGGCTCAGGTGATTGGCAGCCAGAACTGAGCACCCGAGATCAAAGATAGCAGATTTCAAATTGCACACCACATGGCAGCTACACTCTAAAAAATGCTGGGTTAAATACAACCCAGTGCTGGGTAAAATAGGGACAAACCCAGCAATTGGGCTGTTTTGACCCCGCGGGGTCAAAACAGCCCAATTGCTGGGTTTGTCCCTATTTTACCCAGCACTGGGTTGTATTTAACCCAGCATTTTTTAGTGTACAGTATATTGTATTCGAAATATCCAGCATTCCTGTTTCATTTAAGTTAAAGGCTGAAACGTTTCTCCATACCGAGAATATCTGGAGAGGGCAGACAAGTGTGGTGTAATTTCCCACTGTAGAACTCCAGACCGATGATAGCGAACATCAGGATGGCAAAGAACAGCAGAAGACCGATCTGCAGCAGCGGCACCATGGCTTTAATAATGGACTTCAGAACTATCTGTAAACCTGGTGGAATTCCTCTGGATTAGTGCAAAGCTGTTTAAAACCAAATATCGTGTGTCATGTGTGACATTCATAATTGTTGATTTGGTGGATGAGTTACTTACTAGGGATCCCGGAGACTAGTTTGAGGGGTCTGAGCACACGCACAGCTCTCAGGGTCCTCAGGTCCACTGGGATATTCATATGAGAGCCAGCAGTGGCCAGAATCCTGCAGGAAAAAACAAACACACAGAGGAAACGGGGAAATAAGAGAAAACTGTTAAAGGGAAAGTTCACCCAAAAATGGAAATTCTGTCATCATTTTCTCAGCCTACACTCTTAAAAATAAAGATGCTTCACGATGCCATAGAAGAACCTTTTTGTCTAAATGGTTCCATAAAGAACCTTTAACATCTGAAGAACCTTGCTGTTTCACAAAAGGTTCTTTGTGGCGAAAAAAGGTTCTTCAGATTACAAAAAGGTAAGAAAGAGATGGTTCTTTAAAGAGCCTTTGACTGAATGCTTTGTGGAACCAAAAAATGGTTCTTCTACGGCATCGCTTGAATAACCTTTTGAAGCACCTTTATTTTTAAGAGTGTAATGTTGTTCCAAACCTGTACGAGTTTCTTTCTTCCACTGAACACAAAAGAAGATATTTTGTAGAATGTTGGGAACCAAACAGTGTCTGGTCCCCATTGACTTCCATTGTTTAGTTTTTTCTACACTATGGAAGTCAGCTGTGTGGTTACCAACATTCTTCAATATATCTTTTGTGTTCAGCACAAATGATGACAGAATTTTTATTGTTGGGCGAACTATCCCTTTCAATGTGGCACAGATCTGATTTATTAATTTTTTTCCCCCACCACACAGATCCTTTTCCCAATGAGTCAAAAATATGTTCATGTAACATGACGTTTTTCAAAACTGCTTGCTTGGTTTAGCATTGAATTATAACAATATTCATGAATTGCACTTTATGATAGACAGAAACTGCAAAACACGTTTACTTATGATATTTGAATATACATTATGGCTCCTCAAATGTTGTGACGCTCTCTACACAGTGAGAATAGATGTTCAGATGTAAAAACAGTTCTTTATATAAAAATTGTATATAACAAAATGTGATATGATAAAACTTTACAAAGTTCATCAACCTTAGTTAATGCTTTAGGTGTAATTAACTAATACATTTCTAGCCTTTCATGTTAATGTATTATATGAATAAATTATATGAATAAATGCTGCAAAAATATTATAAAGTGTTAGGGTTAAATTATTATTTGTGACCCTGGACCACAAAACCAGTCATAAGGGTAATTTTTTTAAAATTGAGATTTGCTGAATAAATACGCTTTCCGTTGATGCATGGTTTGCTAGGATCGGACAATATTTGGCTGAGATACAACTATTTGAAAATCTGGAATCTGAGGGTGCAAAAAAATCAAAATATTGAGAAAATCGCCTTTAAAGTTGTCCAAATGAAGTTCTTAGCAATGCATATTACTAATGATAATAAATGTTTGATATATTTACGGTAGGAACTTTACAAAATATCTTCATGGAACGTGATCTTTACTTAATATCCTAATGATTTTTGGCATAAAGGCAAAATTTATCATTTTGACCCATACAATGTATTGTTGGCTATTGCTACAAATATCCCCCAGCGACTTAACACTGCTTTTGTGGTTCAGGGTCACATATTATATTTATAGATTATATTATTTATTTATATTACTTCTATACATAGAGTGATCAAATATTGTTCTCTTTATAATCGCTGGAACAGCGTGAGCCTATCAGTGATTTGATTTCTGAATTTTCACCAAAACTCCCATTATAATCATATGCGTGATATTGCAGTTCAATGAACACATTGGTGAGAGTGCATTGTGTGCTCAGTAGACATGACTGTGTTACAGCTCTACAACCTTTGATGCAATGGGTGTAGGTCTATATATAATACTACTATACTACTGAATAAAATTCCTTTCATGTCTCCTTTAAAGTCAGCAGATGTTGAAATTGTCTTTTCTTCCCTATTGTGAGGTATATCCAAGTGAAACAGCTTCTTGAAAAGAAAAAAATTGTAGGGTGGGACTTTTGCCCTACAATTTTGCCCATCTGGAATTGATTGGACCGTTGAATCGTTGTCGTGTGCTATTGCTGCATCTCATGTGAGTTTATTGTCACATGTCGTCAGAAAAGAGAAGAGATTATGAAGGCACATGCATTTGAAAAAATTAAAGATGCACACAGATATATCATTTATAATAAACACTGCAATATTACATAAAAAAATAAGAATTGCCGATTTTGATTTAATGGTGACTTTAAATTAGTTGATGCTACAATCTGATAATATATCAGGGTATAGGGTGTTTCGCACATGCAGGTCAGATACTGTATGTGCTGCACTTAAAAGGTCATGTGAACAACCTCACAAACGAAATGGGAAGTGGGCACTTTGGCGTGCGCTGTGAGCATTAGTGAGAGCTGTTACAGTGTGCGCACTTCCCAGAGACGATACAGTGACAAATACATTAGACAACAGTATCTGTGAGCACGACTGCTAATGTTCAGGAGGAACCTAAAGTCATGAACTCAGGGATCAATTTGAATAAGAGAATATGAATAACAGTATGGAAGAGGAAAAAGGAAAAAGCGAGCGTCAGAAAGAGAGCGACTTGTGGAGCGAGTGAGTGGGTGAGTGGATGAAAGCATTGCTCGGGGGTGTAAATGGTGTGAAAATTCAAGGTTGTGAATCTTTCTGTAGCCTCCAGAGCTGCAGCACGTCCGTACTATTGTACATCATGATTTGCATCAACAAATCCTTCATATCAGGAACAGAGAGGAGCCTGCTTCATTATGCCTTTTTATAAACATCCGCTTGTCTTACAGGAGCTTTCAATCTGTGATTCAAAGGAACTTATGTAATGCTTCCTGAGCAAGTACAAAATGTACTGCGTTTAAACCATAGGACGGTCTGTTTAATAAAAATCTTCATCTAATAGAATGTGTGTTTCCTTAGGCTTAACCATGTTTTATGTATTTACTGTAGTGTCTTTAACACTGAGGCTTTTTCTAACATAACTGATTTTGTTTTGTGTAAGTCATAATAATCAGTTACGTTTGTGCCTTTGTGTCATTTCACACATTTCTATCAATCAGTGTAGCATGACCAAACACTATTAATTATTTCACAATTTGATTTCTTTGTACCTGTCGGTGAAAAAGCTGAAATGCAAACATGAAATGAATATGGGCTCACCCACACATGAACACCTACACACAGCGCTGAACTGAGCTCTGAGAGCCAGTCAACTGAGAGGGGGATGGAGGAAGATGGAGGAATAACATTATCAACACTTAGTGGTGAATCATCGGCATATCTGCAGCAAATGCTTCATGTTTCACACACTATGAAAGAAAGGCTTCATGCTGAGTCTATGCTGCGTTCTGAACATCTGAGCACACTGTACGCTCGTGTAGCGCTCCGTTGTCCACTTCCTCAAGACAAGCAGTAGAAGTCCTGATAAACTGTAAAATATTCACACTTGACGCATTATCAAATGTATTTCTAGGGGAAATCTGAATGACTAATTCTATGAATCATTTAATCTGAATTCATAACATCAGTAGCTGCGCTACGCAACTTTTGTCTCTCTATCGCCATCTGTGGCTGAATCATAAAATTGCATTTCGCTTGCAGCGGACTCGTTTTAAATCGACTTTAGGTATCATGCACTTGCAGATTTGTAAATGGCTATTGAGAAAAATTGGACATCATGCACTAAAGGACTAGCAGACTTTCAAGTCATTCTGAATACAACAAACTCATGCAGAAACATGCAGTTTGCTGCTAGGAGATGCACGATAAATTAAAACAATGTGTTCTAAAATCAGTTCAAAATATCAATCATGCTTGATATCAGATTCTACACGACAACAGTGTTTACTGTAGCAACAAGCTGCAATAACTCCTAAGCACTCACACGTACAATTTACTGACGTGATTAATATATTAAAAAAAATTTAAGTTGTGTCTCAAATGACGCACTATATACTTTTTTATGTACTCAACCATAATAAAAGCTGCAACAGTTGAGCGCATAAAGTGTCCAACATTCCACACTTAGTTTTTTCAGTTAATTAAGTGCATCATCCGGGCATTTAAAGTGTGTGTTTTTTTTTTTTTTGGAATTTTCAGTGTGAACACACTATTCAAACATGGCATAGAATAATGCATGAGTATGTGAACTGGGAGCTTGAACTTAAATGTAAAGTTAAAAAATAAATAATACATATAATATACTGACAATCACCTTAAAAACACAGGTGGTGATGAGAAAGACACATGATCAATCAAAGTTCATCACAACTAGATTTTCCACAAGCTGAGGAGGAAAATACTAATATATAGAAGGAGCACGCAGTGTCAGACACACACACACACAATACACCGTCATGGTAACACACGTGACAGTGAAATAATGTAATAAACATTAATTTAACAACATAAGATCTAACAGAAAACTGATAAGAACTATGTACATAACTGATAAGAAAAGAAGAAAGAAACCTCATTATTTCAATGAAATGTCATCAAATGTGAGCTCTCACACAGAGAATTCTGAGAATGGCAATATCCTTTTTTGATGACTGGTTCTTTTCTCTACAGAAAGCAGGACATTTAACATAATTTTACAGTAAAATTACATAAAATGCCCCATTAGATGTATCACAGCTAGGCAAGAATACCTTCAACACTTTTTAAACACTTCAACATGTTTTTAAAAAAAAACATTTTTATGTAATAGCTGAATAATGGAATTGCATTTATTTAAAAAAAAAAAAAAGACAGCTTTAAATAAAATAAAACCTGCAAAAACATGGAAACTCTAAGCAATTCTGACGACACTGATGCAATTATTCTGAATGCTTAAAATTACTTGGAAAGATTTATGACTTTATCATAATATTTATAATTTATATAAGACTGTAGTTACTGTTCATATTTTGTTCGTATATTGTCTTTATAGGTTCACGACGTCAGTGGTTCTGGAATGTTTTTGAAGTTTGTATTTTGAAGCCTGTTGAAAAGACCTGTGCATGCTGGTGTTCCCATTAGACTTTTTAACTAGCTTAACAATGCTTTCTTGGTCAACTAGAATCGGTTGAACTAAACCAGCACTAACTAGCATGTTGACCTATCAGCTGGTCTTCAGCAGGGACAGCTAATCCAATGCTTTTTACATTGGTAAAGACATTTCAGACATGCTGCATCTCTGTACTCTGCATGTAGACTGTCTCAAACATTACTTGAAGGATCACGAGAAGCTGTGTGTGAGCTGTCACTTCAATGTTATCATACTCGTATTTGTTTTATCATGTCAAATGCAAAGTTTCTCCATATGTTCCCAGAGGACCTGTGAAGGAAAAAATATCAAATTGGCTCTGTCCCAGCAGATTCGCTTGCAGCTAATCATTAATTTCAGATGAAATGAAAGCCACAAGCAATGGCCTACTGGCCTTGTTTCAGTTCCCAGATGAGTGGAATGACACATGTAGTTTTCTTTTAAGTCTGACTTACTTTCACTGTTTTTAAAGAGGTCAGGTATGTTGGAGTCAAAAGTGTGTCAGATGTGTAGCAGGGATAATCGCTTTCGTTTCAGATGTTAGCAGCCTCTCTAAGAGAGATTGTCAGGAGAAAAACTGGCATATAGACAAAAATGGATAATAAGGTTGTGTACAAACATAATTATTATTATTACATTTTAATAAGACATTGTTAAAGTGGATCTTTCAAAGCCAAACAAGTTCATAGGATCAGATATAACACATAACATCAGCCTCATTCATGAAACACAAGCAAAAAAAAATCTCTGTAAAACCACTCTGCGATTCATTTGAGAGTCGATTTATGATCAATTTACACAGGAATATGTTCTGCTCATGTTTAATGAATGAAGCCCGATGGATGCACTTAAAAATGTCTACGCAACCTTATAGAAATTACACCTTTCGTTGATGTGATGTGTGTTAAAATCAATGTCAGACCGTTTCCCAGCTTTTAACAACATCTATTAAAATGTGAAAAAAAGACCTGGCATGATTTGTCATAATTGAATCTATTAAATGGATAAAAGCTAGGGTGCAAAATCATTTCTTGCTGTAGACACCCACATTACATTGACTACAGGGGGTCAGGGTTTGGCTGGCTAGCGCAGGCCATTATGTGTGCAGAGAAGCATCTTTCTCCATTCACAGCCATTCAAAAGTAGCCATGCATTTTGACAAAGCATATTCATGAAGCGGCTGAGAGCAACTTTTACTAAGAAATGGGGAGAAACCTTAAGCTAAGAGAAAGGGCGGGGTTGACCTTGTTGCTATGGATGATGTCATCAAGCTCGCTAACTATGATTGGCTGATAGGGGATGGGTTACTGTCAGTCATCCAATCATAGGAATATTGTAGAACCAGGTAATCATGTTGCCATAATCAAATAAAGTTTTTAAAATGTAGGTGTCACTAATTAAACAAGTATATGTTCAGCTAATTGTCAGCCTCTTACATGTCTGCATCTCGTAAACAATTGTTACTTCTTGCCCAACTTGTACATGAAATGATTAAATTAAATGGAAATTATCGTGAAATGTTTATAGCCATAGGCCATTGGAAGGTTTGTGATTTGGTCTCAGTGATTTAGGAGTCGTCTTGACTAGCCCTTAACTTTTCACAGATTTAAGTGCTGATTTTACGCTTTGAGAAATACTAAAATTAGGACTGACACACCCATTATTTTAAGAGTTTATCCTAAATCGGCAAGTTAGGAGCTACTTTTAGCCTTAAGATGTGTTGTGAATACGGCCCCTGGCAACTAAATAAGCGAACATTTGTAATAAATGTTTACTATGCTATTGCTGTGAGCGTAATGTTAAATGGGTTGCATTGTCCATTACTATAAGACAAATGAAAATTAATAGTTCACTCTCCATCGTTCAAATACAGCTCAATGTTCTGGATCTTAGTGTTGTTTGTTTTCTAAAGAGAGCTAACATTCTGCAAGGTAAGTGTCATTTTTTTGTCTCACTTGTCTCATTTTTTGTCATCATTTACCATATGTAATGAGTATTTGATTTCACCATATCCTCATCAGACAAACACTTTGTCTAAACTATTGAGTCTTTATGCATCCCTGCATCTACTGATCTCCTGTACTCTAACGCAGCGGTTCTGGACCCACAGCACTGCATCTGAGATATAACATGTATAGCATCTGAGAACTTGGAAGGAAACATGGAACTGAGGTAAGCAGGAATGAAAACAGTTCCTTGATGAGGAATCCTACCTCTGCTGTTCACAGCCTACTCAAACACACAGTCCAGTAGCCAAGACATGCATCTAGCCTGCAGAGCAGATAGTGAACGGGACTGCATTCTAGTCCCTTCCCTCACTAACTTCCTTCTGTCTCAAGGACTCAGGTTATATATTTAAAGGATGCACGTCATTGCTTAGATTGCATGAATGCCCACTACTGACAGAACCCATGCAATTGGTTTAAATGGAACGCTTTAAGCCATTGATCACTTGGAACCCATTTTGCAGCTGATTTATTATTTATAGTTTTATTCTATATTAATGCATCATTATATAGACCGATGTGTGGAAGCCTGTTTCAGCCACTGGGGGAAAAAAAGGTAATTGCAACCTTTTACAACCTTTTATATCACAATCCTGACTTGTTTCTCACAATTCAGATTTTGTTTCTCAGAACTGCATGATATAAACTGACAATTTTCTCAGAATTGTAAGATATAAACTCACAACAACTATGAGTAATAAAGTCAGAACTGCAAGATATAAATGCGCAATTCTGACTTCTATTCTCATAGTTGCGAGTTTATATCCCACAACTTCACAATCCCCTTCACAATTCTCAGAATTGTGATATATAAACTTGCAATTGAGAGTTATAAAGTCCAATTCTGAAAAAATAAATAAATACTGACTATTTTCTTACAATTGCACGTTTATATCTCACAAAGTCAAAATTGTGACATATAAATGTGCAATTCTGTGAAAAAAAAAGTCAGAATTGTGAGATAAAATGTTGCAATTACCTTCTTTAAATTTTTTATTCAGTGGTGGTAACAAGCTTCCATTCCGATGGGAGTGCTTGGGCTTTTGAGGAAAACTTAAAACACACACACACATAATACGGCATAAACATAGCTACATTTTGGGACACAGAAGTGCCAGAAGGGTAAATATGAGTAGACTCGCTCTCTCGATCAGAATTGAGTGATGGAAGATCAGCAGAAACGCTCCTTGCCCACTTAACGAAGTGGAATGGACTGCCACAAATCCAGTGGAGAAGTGCTTAGGGAACTTATGATTGCAAGCAGAAATCAAAGAGCAGATACCAACTGCGGGCCATGCCTACCATAGCAATGTTTTGAAGGGAAGCACACTATTCCTAGCACTGAAGTATCAAAAATCAGTGGGGAGAAAGAAAATATAAATGTCAGATGCTTACCCACTTAGCACAACAATGAAGTCCATTACATTCCAGCCGTTTCTGAGATAGGAACCCTTATGAAAAACAAAACCGAGCGCCACCAGCTTGATACCAGCCTCAAAACAGAAGATCCCAATGAAATAAGGCTCGGTCTTCTCCTAATGGACAAGATGAGAAAGAAAAAGATCAAACGATTAAACAAAACAATCGACAGAGAATATCATAATAAGTAATATAGAAATGCACATTCTAGCTTTGATTTTATAAAGATATCAAACTGATGTCACCTGAAGAAGAAAAAAGACCCACAGATCTGTGGCCACGTTTTTGCAAATTGTCCCCTCAGTTTATAAACTGCACTCACAAATTCTTAAACTGTTTCTTAATAAACCATAGTTCCTAATCTGTGCTTTTAGATTTGTAAAACCGTACCTTCAGATTTTACAATCCGTATCCACAAATTCATAAATTGCACCCATGCTTTTGTAATCTGTTTCCATGGGTTTACAAAGTGATTTAAAAAAAAAAAAGCTTAACGAGGCTTAATGTCCTAACACAACAACCAGTGAAAAACAACTTTCTCCCACATTTCTTGTCATAAACACTATCAGCATAATCCAAGAGGAAAGACAATAATTTTACGTTAATTTTACGTTTTCTCCCCCATAGAAAACTGTGAAGAAAACATACACCTTATTGATGTAGCAAACTATTTACAGAATATGAATGCAATTCACTAAATTGCATGTTAAGCATTTTCCTCTCATAGAAAACTATTATAAAGAAAATGCTTAACGTGGCTCAATGCAGTGATACTAAAACTCAGTATACACCTTACTGCTGATGCAGCGCATTGCATTCGTATTCTGAGTTCACACATACATATTTTTAATAAACTGTATCACAGATTTAGCTTTTTTTATATCACTGTATTTGTCCCTTAAGCCACATTAAGTGTTTCTGTCCTCATCAGCTTGCCTGTATATAGTTTGTAGCATCAGTAAGATATATACTGAGTTTGGTCTTTTATTATCCTAATGCATTAAAGTGGGAATGAATTGCAAAGAATTTGTGAGTATGGTTTATAAACTGAGGGGGCGAATTGCAAAACCGTGGCCACAGATTTGCTGGCCTTTTTTCTCTCTCCATTTCCGAGTGATGATGGTTGCCACTAGCTTCTGAGTAACAGTATGCATTTTATTTTGTATTCTCTGGACTCTGGGAATCCAATAATTTAGATAATATGTAGTATAAGTAGTAGCACGAGTTTTGAAAGGTTCAGTTGTGTTTATCTAAAATATGAATGTATTAATGCTTACCAGCCTTTTGGACATAGGCGTCTTGTCCTCACCAGGAAGATGCTGTTCCAGGGATAAAACGATGCAGTTGGCTATGATGGTGGCTAGGATCATATACTCAAATGGAGTAATGGCACAGGGGTCAAGGCAAATATTACATCAGGTGACAAAATTAGAATTACTCAATTTAAAAAAAGTTTGCATCTGAATAACAAAGAATCTCCTCATCGAGACTGACACACTGTACACTTTACTTCACACATTACAAAATCTTATACACCTGCCTGCATTAATACCCCTGTCATCTGTAGAAACATATACTGTATATACGTACATAAATGTTTATGTATCAGTATATGGACTTTTAAATGCATAGTACCTAGGACTTGCATGACTGTGTAGCTGACTAGAGATCCAGCTGGCCAGTCAAGTTTACCTTATGTAAATGAGTCAGTGCTGCATTAATGGAGAGTCTGTGAGTGGATGAAGTGTACATGTCTTCACTGACAGACTGACTATAGCTGCATTGTCTTGCTTTAGCTCCTGTCCACACTGGATAGCCTTGTAGCGGTTTACACAAATTGTGGCTCATCCGTGAACACTCTGAATGAACTCAGATGTCCGTAGAACCAACAGTGCAGTGCTTGTAAAAGCTTTGTGAAACCACTTCTTGTCGAATGGACGAACTTTCTTCCTGCTGTCCTCAAGTACTACGAGCACAACTAAAGTCATGTGATCCGCAACTAGTCAACGCAGACCCAACATGCCATTCGTTGCCAACCAATCAAAGTTATTAATTGCTAGTTGGTGCCACCCCCAATATCACATTCAATTAAGTCAGTGTAACTGGCTTTGAACGTCCATCGAATGTGCCTCCGAACAACACACAGCGTTTTGTTTCTGAATGATTCCACATTTTTGAACCAATCAGGCGAAGATTCAATGACACATTCTCAAAGACGATCACTTGCTTTGTTTCTGAAAAACATCAGCCGTTTAATCGATTGAATGAATGACTCAATGACTCACTCATTAAGAGAATCACATAACAGAGAACATTGCATAACAGAGAGTCACAGTGACTTTTAGTTTCATATTTAATATATTTAACATACTTTTTTATTTAGTATTTTAATGTTATGGCCACATTGCAGCCTTAAAAGTTTATGTGTAATAAAATAATAAAAATGAATGTTGAATAAAAAAAAAATTTCTAAACCTTTTTTTTTAATGTCTATTCAATGCAAACACGATAATGACTTTAAATTATCTTTTGGGGGCCATTTTTTCAGCCCAAATTGAAGTGTGATTAATTGGCGATTAATTATTGGGCACAGCATGAATTAATTAAATAAAAAAATTAATAAATTCAATTTAATCGATTACAATTTTTTATCGATTGACAGCTCTATACATATAAACATATAAAGGCATAAAGTAGGGTTGACAGTACAATTATAGATGTAGCTACAGAAATTAATTACGGATGTAATTATAGGTATTTTTACATTTAAGTACAATTTAAAACATGTATCTGCACAATAAGTGCATTTTATCAAATTATTAATTTAAATGTAAGTGCATAGTAATTAAAGACACTTAATATGAAGCATGTCCATTTATTGTTTTCATTTTAAGTAATAATAAAAATCAACTAAACGTTTATAGAAGTGACTTATAATAAACCCCATGTAATTGATCTGAGAGTATCTTTCCTGACGCTGGTATTAAAATAGACATTCTTGGAAGTTTCCGTGGCTTTATTTATTTATTTATTTTTTCATGGGATACGCCCATATTCATTTGCTCTAGCACTTTACAGAAGTTGTGTAAGAAAAATAAATAAATAAATAAAACAGACTACAGCCCTATTTATTTGGTAATTGTTACTCGTCAGTAAAAATAAATCTGTATGACTCCTCGGTTAAAAAACTCATGTGTTCAGATGACGATTTATTCAAAGTGGAGGAGGTTGTTTTGTGATCTTACAGGACCCCAGAAACGTGCTTCTCAAATTGTCAGTCACATGTTCAACATTTATTTAAATATCCTATTTTATAATAGGAAAATTGATGCACTATGGGTTTTATCTCCCCAAATGATGAATGCAAGTTTAAAAATATAGAAATTAGCAGAAATAAGTTTGCAAGCTCTTATTTAAATGAGGTAAACATTTGACCCTAAACTATATAAATATATATAATACAAAAGTTTATTGCAAAATAAAAGTGTGCACATTGTAACATGCACATTGCAATGAAGTGCAACAGTTGGATGCTTGTAAACTCAGAGATGTAGATTCAGACACAATTAAATTACCACACAACTTTGGTTTTTGTCAAAAAGCAAAAAAACATTTTGTACCTCTGCCATACATTTTTATGTGTGGTGGAAAAACACAAAAACAACAACATTCTGGATTCGGATGGCAATAAAATCACCAACTAGCCCACATAACAACATCCAATGTTTTTCACAAACCAGCTACTTAATAAGCATCACCTTTACTGTTGATCATATTTCGTCATTTGAACAAACGTTTTAAAGTGTAGCGCTTACAGTAAGTCGTCTGCACTGGCTGTGCTACGGACATGAATGATACCTCAACTCATGCAGCTTGTAGAGGAAAGCTGTAAAACTACTTTTCTATGCAACCGGGGGAGGGCCAATTTTCACCATTCTTGTCAGATAAGATGGTTGCAAGCGAGGTAAAATACTTGGAAGCTATTATACAAAAAAATGGCATCATAAAATAATAAGCATAGTATTGTCAGTTCAGTCAGGGATGCACTAACCTAGAATTTTCAGCTTTTTTTATTTTTGGCATCTCTCTAGCAGCGAGGATTGCCATGGCAACCTGCTTTCTACACTTAACCTCCTCCAGGGAGGGTGGACTGTGAGTTTCGCTCACCTGAGAAACAGCCAAACATTATCTCAAGTGCTGCTTGTAATGCGCTTTCAGGCTCAAGTATGAAAATCATGAGCATTCCTCATAAGCATGTGCAATGACCTGAAATCTGTTGCTGCTGATTGGATCGGTAGAGGTGAATTTAATTCATTAAGTTGAAGGAATGTCAGAAAACATGAAATATATACTCTATTCAGATTGTTGTGTAGTAGCCACTTGTTCATCAAGTATTGAAAATAACAAGTAATGAAAGCCAGAGTACACATGGCCTTATACAGGAACTAAATCAGGGTGACAACTACTATTAGTTTAGTAGTAGAAAAACTAGTAGTCAGCAAGTCTAATAAACATTACGATTTCCTCATAGCCATATGTCTGTTTCTTCTTTAAGAGTTGTAGCTTATTTATTCACTTTGATCCTAAAACTGGTATACAAATATACATGTAGGCTATATAACATGCTGCACAAACAGTAACAAGCATGCACTATATAACAGCATGGATTCGAGTGTAATACTAGTACAGTGTCTTGGGTTCTTTCCCACCATTGCATAACATTGCATTTTTCAGACTGTGTTCAAAATATTAATGACATCTGTAGGTGTGTAATTGTCCAAAACAGTTAGCTAGGGAAAAACATTTGTGATTTATTTCCCCCAAACACAATCTCAAGGGCTTTGATATAATCATTATGAAATTATATAACTATATGAACTATAGCCCAGAGAAAAACTGCATTGTTCATAAATTTATCTTTTTTTAGAAGACTTAACTGAGTTGTCATTATTTTTTGTCTCAGATGTTTCTTCCAATGTCCTAAAATAGATAAATTAGATCATTGTTGCATACAGTAAGAGTTTAGAGACATAAAAACTAATGCAGGTAGCTTTAACAGATTTGTTCGTTCAACTTATTATTATTCAACTGCACTTGGGTTCCAACTTTATGTCATTCTGCTGAAGAATGCACAACCGTCAACTATAAACCCAGCAAGCAAACTGTCCTCTCTTAGTCAAGGACAGAGAGGCATACGTACCACAATGAACATACGAAAACATGCATCTATCTACATTTACTACTCTAGCACTCCAAAAACATCTGAAATGAACACTACTGGCAGTAAATCACCAACCACTTTAATTCCTGTTCACAAAAATTACGATTACAGGGCAGATTATCCATTAATAAAGATTTATTTTTGCATGATACTATGTTATGACCTCAAAACACTTCCACCATAGTGTATGATTTATAAACTAATACATATTCACGTCTGTATCACGTAACATCTGTATTCGTATGGTTTTTCTGACTAAGTAAACTTGCTCTGTAGCGCACCCGGTACAACATTGCACTTATGATGTGAAGCGCTCGGGTACGAGTCCCATGAAACATGAGTCACGATAAAAGAGCACAAAGACTTGTAGAAGCACATTAGAATGGCATGGTAGATTCAGCAAATGCATTTTAATCTCACAATTGCTTTTGTTAACACTGTCGTTTAGGTTTAGTGTAGGTGCGTTCTTTCTTATTTTTTTTTAGATGCAATAGAGCTCTGACCTTTTAGCACCACTCACCGGACATTTAATTTCCAAACTGCCGCAGTACAGACTATCAACATTGCCAGATTCACATCCATCTGTTTTGGATAGAATTAAACATGCTTTTAGTGCCACTCGCTGAACATTTCATTTCATTTAGAAGGTGTTGCAAAACATCCAAAAAGCAACGCAATGTCATTTTTGCAGAAATGCCACTACAGGCACATTTTTCCAACGGGCCTGCTTTTGTAAGATTTCTCATTTGGTAGATTTTAATGAGACTGTTCTCAAATATGTTTGTTTAAATGTTGCAATTACAAGCAAAGTAATGGTGAATGGTGTTCACTCTTTTCCCTCAGTTTGGCCCAATAATGCCAGATTTCTCACTTCCATCTGCTGTCACGTTCACAGCCACGAGTCCACACTCATGCCGACCATCGACCCTGAGTCAGCGCACATATCTGCTACAGATGAGGTTATATCCATCTCAAACCAAACTTGTGTGCTATCAGCGCCCGAGCTGTTCACATCTACAAACCAGGAACTCAGACTCCCTGCCTCAAACCAGAAGCTTCCCTTTTCTGCAGCCTCTCTAGGGTTCTCAGTTATGCCAAGTTATGCATTCCTTGTCATAAGCTGTGTTTACACCTGGTATTAACATGTGTTTGTTCAGTCGGATCACAAGCAGACGAGGGAGACACATTCCCATTTGCACCCGGTGTTTTGATCCATCCTCTTTTGTCATATTCGACCACTTTCCTGATTTCTTTGAGGTAAGTGTCTATAGGCGGGTGTATGTATGGAGTTTTTCTGAACTTTCGATCTAATATTGCGAAATAAGCTTGTGCAATTCACATATGAATGCTAAAGGAGACAATGGAAAACGATACGGAGAGCAGCAGCTTATGTTTCTGCTCTGACAGCCACAAAACTATGCCAAACGCTGTGGGTTTGTGTCAGAATCAGGAAGAGAACATTGTGCTTTTTACATTTCTTTCCCCATCAAACCAAACTTACAATTTTAGATGGCAAAGTTTAAATTCCGTCTGGCTAGCGTGCTTTAATGACACGTCCTGTAATGTTTACGCATTAGGGCAGTAGGCGGAGAGGAGGCGGTCTCTAGTGGTTGTTCGAACACATTCAACAACATGAGCGTTACGAAAGCAATCTGGTCGAATGCATTTTCAACTACCTCTGGACGTGGACTATAATGGATAAGCTCAAAACAATTCAGACCCCATTTACATCTGTATTTAGGACTGTCCACTTGTGATGGGATCGACAAAAATGCATCTTAAAGGGGTCCTATTATGCTTTTCCAACTTTAGTTAGTGTGTAATGTTGCTGTTGTGTGTAAGAAAAAGGTCTGCTGGGTTGAAAGCTCGAAGTTCGCTCTAAAAGGAGATTTTCTCTTTAACTGAAAACATTTTTTAAGAACTACAACAAACGGCATGTTTGGACAACAGCGTGCTTCTTCCGGATTTTGTGACATCACAAAGTCCCTCATTTAAATAATTTGCACTAATTCGCGGATATGCAAAAAAGGAGACGAGGCCTGGTTGAGCTGCGCTACAGAAGACGAAGAACAGCAGCTGCTTTAGTAGCGTGTTGTCTCTATGTCAATATATATTTATATTTATATATAACCAATCAGAGCACATTCTGTGTTTCAGAAGTAGGGGTTTCATCGAAACAGTGAGTACGAGACAGTTTGGGAAGAGATGGTGCTGCAATAATGTAAAATATGTAAAAAATAATGTGCTTTTGGAACAATCAAGCGTAAAAACCTATTATTGTGCACCCCAAAAAACAAATCAAGACTCTGTAAAAGGGCATAACTGGCTAGGTGCACAAGATGGTATCAGTGAGCTTTGGCGAAGCGAGTGTGGGCATGCTTACTTCTGGTCTTTGCAACGTTTGCATAAAAAAAATATATATATATCCTTGCATTTTTGTCTATCTCTGTCTGGAAATTCATCAAGATACAATGCGGAGATTGCTTCATTCTTTCTGCTGCTCATTATGCGGTTCAGCATCAGTGGTTAGTCAAAATCTACAGGGATCTCTTCATTCAAACACAAACCACACAAATGTGCAATACTGTACATTTTCAGAGAGTTGATTTTGTTTTGACTGCTATCTATGAGATCATAAGGTGTGCGACTGTCAAACGAGACGCTCAGAGATTTCAACCTGCTATAGGTTTGCATTTATTAATAGATCTGCGTTTATATTGTTTTTATTAGTATTTATCTGTTTTGAGAAAATGAGTTTAAGAGCATCTGTTGCATAAATCATTATCTGGTGTCTATAAGCAGTGCATATATTTTTACGAACTGTTTGCATTAATGAACTAAAGTAAAACAAACCTTTTAGTTATATCTATAGCTATTTATTAATTTGATCATTTATAGACCGTGCTTTCATTTAAAAATATGTTTTTGTGCAAAGTGCAAACGTAACATAAAATATGTAGTGGAAATATTGATGGAAGAAATAGATGTATGTGCAGAATTGAGAAACGGAGATTAATTGTCTCACAAGGCAAATGCTTTTCAGTTCAAAAACGTCAATGCAATACAAACATTTTTGAGAAATAAGTAATTTGTACATTTACATAATTGGTAAGCGAAAAAGACATTGTGTAGCTATGTGTGCACAGCATGAGTTCAAGTCAACTTTCATTTCTTGAACAGTAGGGATTAGTGCATTTCCTTCATTCACCTCTGCCTGACCCAAACATCTGGATGGCTCACTTAACATTTTTATTTTGCATGTCAAGTCACGTCACTGCAATTGATACCCCAGCCCACATGCTTGTGTTTGCACTCACAGAATCAGTTTCTACAGCCAGCGTGGATCACTATCCAGCACCACCACAAGGTCACAATCCAAGTCCACCACAGTCCTGAATCCCAGGTCCTCCACAGCCACAAGTTCACAAACCTGTGGTCCAGGTCCACTTTAGTCTTCACGTTTGGGCAAACCCAGATCACAGCTGTCAGCATCCACCAGCACTGAGCCATTATTGAGTCTGAGTTGCCATGATTGAGTTGTTTAAAGTTTAGGATGTTATGCAATGCTTTGCCCACAAGAAATCCACCCCTACACTCTCAAATGTACCATTAAGGTACTAATATGTACATTTATGGTACTAATATGCATTCTTTAAGGGTAAATAAGGTACAAAAGTTTACCTTTTCCAAAGACACTGCCCCACTGACAGATTTTGTACCTTTTTCCTGAGAATGTAGGGAAGGGGCTCTGTAAATGTTTTGTTGATTTATGCGGTCATGCTGCGTACTTGTCTGTTTGTTGTAATATTTCTTATGTCTTAATTTTAAAGTTCTGTTTTTTGGTATTCAGTTCTGTATTCAGGTGTGTCTTGTTATTGGTTAACTACCCTCAATTAGTCCTTAGGTCTTGTTGATTAGTCTAGTCTTGTTATTGGACATGAATTCATCCAATCCAACTGCATACACACATGTACAGTCTGCATTTCTTTCATTCTTGAACATGAATGCACACAAAGAAATGCACATTTCCACATTTTCACGTCAAGGTCAGATGTTCAGAAAATCGGAATGACGAGAAATGTTTGCATTTGTATTGAATTGTCTGTCTTTTAAATGCTTGGCAAATATGACAGAGGACAACGCATGTAAGATCACTGGATTCTCAATTATGAGAAGCTAAATATCTCCATATGCTTTCATTTAATCTCATTGTGTTCATTTTATATTGGCTAGATTAACCTTGATCTGGTCTCTTAATTTGTGTAGTACATTAAAATAGTTTGAATGTAGAAACTGTGTGCGGTTCCCCAACTCTTTTTAGCATTTCTTTCAATATTTAGATATGTAAAGCTCTCACAAGCGGTTCTGACTATGAAGTATAATTTATTAAACTCGCCCCAGAACGAGTGTCTAGGACAAAGGCTTACATTTGTTAATGTTAGAAACCATTTTGCTAAGAATGCCAGAAGTGTCTAGAAAGTCTAGAGAAGTCTAGAAAAATCAAGTGTGTCTTTTAATACAGAACTTGTTGCCAACAGATGATTTTTGTAACTTATTTTCGGCTTTTACTAAATGTGTTTCCACAAAATGCAAAAGGGCAGGTAACTTCAATCAGGAGATAAAACAAGTAAGACAACACAACCATCAAACAGGTAAATTAATCTGAGATAATTGCATGCAATTTGTAATTGTATTATTCGCAACAGGCTTATGAAAGGATATGGCCACTCTATAACCCTCTTTGCATATTTTCTTATGATATTATTCTCAGCGAAGATAAAGAGAGACCTGTTGACGGTGAGACAGTTGTGTTTGGCTGGGATGGGGTTGTACAGAGCCATGGTCCGAGCCCGTTTAATCTCCCCGGCGGACTCGCTCTCTGCCTTCCCCTCAGCGCTCACCTCCTTAGGCATGTCTTCAGACTGAGCCATGTCTCAAGATCTCGAAAAATAATCAATCCCAGCTTTCATAGACGATCCCAGCTTTACTCCATTCTTCTAACGGCAAGCCAGCTTGAAGAATATCTCACGAGGTTTGCTCGGTCCTGCCTGTTGCGCTCCGTAAAGAAACTTTTTGTGATTAAAAAATAATGTTTTAAAAAATACAGTCCTGTTTATCAGAAGGCTGCATGTCTTTTTCGAAGCCTTGTATCCTTTTCTTGGAAGTGTTCTGCCATGTTTCTCTTGACAAAGATCATGAAATCCTTTTCAAACGTCCAAAAATGACACTTCTAAATCTTCTCAGGCTATTAAATGTGAAATTCTAGCAAAACCCAGCCTGCTTTTTCTCGATGCGCAGATGAATGGTGTAATGCGGTGCAGTTTGTGATACCTGTTACACTGGTACTGTGCTCTATAACAGTGAATGTGGTCTTTTACCATCACATTTTGCCTCATCTCTCGCACTCACCCGCCCCCATCTCTCTCTCTCTCTCTCTCTCGCTCTTTCTCTCGCTCTCTCTGCCCCAATGCTCCCCCTCCCACACACACACACACACACACACACACACACACACGCTACGGGAAATCAGGACATAGGAAAACTGGTTACCATGGAAATGTGTTTTACATTTTATAATGTGATTGTGAGAGTGGCTTATCATTTAGTTTGTCAGATGATGAGCTGAAACAGATTTGTAGCACAGTTAAGGCGTCTGTACTCAGTTAGTGCAAACCTCAACAGCGAATATATTTGTCTCTCTCATTTGTTCATCGGTGAGTTCTAATAATTCACAAACAAACTAAATTATCTAATAGATAAAAAGAGAAACACCTTGATATTTGAACAGATTTTGAGAGTATCTTTATAAAAGGTACAGTACCTTAAAGTTGAAGTGATGCTCTCACACCGGCATGTAATAAATATCTGATTTGGAAATGTGGAAAATGTATGTTTATTTCTGCTCATCTTACCCTGGAACAGCTGTAAGTGTCACAGTAGCTCCACAGTGATCACATGATTGAAACAGGCAAAAATGTAGGTTAAATTCAGGCATTTGGCAATATTAGCTTTTGCACAGCTTGTACTTTTCCAGTGTCTTACATACTCAAACTGTGACAGCCGTCCCGGAAAATCTAAGCGTGAATTTGTTTTAATGCCTTTCTCCCATTTTAGCACTGATTATTCTGACAGCGTTTATATTCAGTGCTGGTAGCAACTGAGTACATGTCATCTGGATTACATAATCAGATTCCCAAAATAGGTTACACTTTATTTTAAGGTTACAGTGTAATTATACATTTAAGTACTGAGTAATATTAATTAACTACATGTATGTACTATATGGTTAAGGTTATGATTTGGGATTGGCTTAGGGTTCCTTGCATGTAATTATGCATAATTAATTGTTATTATAATAGTGCGTACATGTAACGTGTAACAAGGACACATTAAAATAAAGTGTTACCCAAAATGAAGTACTTGTAATTAGATTAAATTACATTTTAATCAGATTACAGTTATCTTTTGTGGATTACATGACTACGGATTATTCACACAATGGCAGTAAATTATTTATAATTGATTGATTCTCCCTAATTTTTTAGTTTTTCTTGTCTTTCTAAAACAAATTGTGTCATATAAGTTAGCGTTGAATATTCACAATATAGTTTGGCCATGCATATGTCATGTAAAGTAATTTGTGATTCATGTACTGTATTTGGAGACAAAAGCACCTCTTAGGCAATCAGATCATGTATGAGACGATCCAGACGAATAATTATGAAAGTTACTAAACACTGCTGATATATAATTGACATAAATATTTAAAAACTGGAAGACTTTGACCATGGCATTTCTGTGTTCATGTTTATTCATGTTTGTTCATGTGATGCAGGGATTCCCAAATATTTACTTGAAGTCCCCCTGAGATTTATTTTTTTTCCTTTTGCATTATTATGATTTTGTTAATAATAAACCCACTTCTTTCATTTACCCCAGTGAAGTAATGTAATGTTTACTGTTTGCTGCATTTCATGTTGATAACAAGGAATGGAATATATATATGGAATATAACAAAAGTAGTCAGAATACGTTACCTAAAATGATTGATATAGATTACATCACTGACTACAATTTGTATCATGTAATTAATCAGTAACAGTAATTACACTGTAAAAAATAGTGTAATTTTAACTGTAAAATATTACAAATGCTACAAAAAAATGTTAATAGGTTAACAGTAAGTTCCTGTACCATATACAGAGGAAAACTGTAAAAGATCTAACCAGACATTTCATGCACTTTTACAGTAAAATGCTGTAAGTTGTACAGTTTTATAAGTAAAAAAGAACAAATCGTTTACAGTCAACCTAAAATATGTACTTGAAGTCCCACTGAGATTTAAAGTTAATCTTTCAACCATGTAACAACATATTTGCATGTTCTCGGCTCTCTGATATTGGTTAATGGTCACATTGCAGGTAAACAAATGAAGTATTTCAGATATAAAAAAATACTTTTCAAAAACTGTAATCTGACTGAATTCCCTGCATGACATTTCACATTCGAAGCTATTTGTTTAAATAATCATGTTTCTTACTAGTTTTTGTTATCAGTTCTGCACATTTGGGTTTTTGTACTGTTACATCTTCTGCTGTTTAATGCATGTTTATTGTATTACTTAAGTGTCACGTGTGTTTCAGTACCGTGATGGTGTTTTGTGTTTGCATGAATGACTCTGTGCACCTTCTGTAAAAATGCTTTAGCGTGTGGAAAAGCTGCTTATGATTCATTCTTCATTAATCTTCATGTAGCTTGCTCTTTTACCACCTGCATTATTATGGTGGTTGTCTGTATATGTTAAAGGTAGGAAAGAGATGTTAGCAGTAGTGTGCGTTGTTGAATTTACTGCTTTAAAATGAAATCTTCTCGTTTTGTAAATTACAGTTTTATACTGTAATTGTTTTAGGCTGTTCTGTAAATATGTTTACGTGCAACCTCATCTGCCAAATGTTGTTTTGTTTTGTTTTTACCGTGTACTGTAAGTAGTAGCAACTGTTTATATTTGTATTGCATTAGTGACAACCTGCAGAGTAAATTGTAATTTCAGAACTTCTGAACTATTTTTAAATTACAAATAAAACGCATGACACTTATTGTCTGGCTGCATGAAACCGCTATATATCTGCAGCATTTGCACTGATGTATTGGCAGATTTCTAAGTGTTTCAAACAGTAAAACAATGAAATCGTAGTCAGAACTGTGAACTTGAATTGCGATACAGACAACAGGTCTAAAGCTTAAGGTTTTTAATTTTAGTTTAGGTGATAAATGGTGAAAAAAGCTGAGAATGTGTCCAACTGAGCATTTTGCTCTCGATCATGTTCAGTTTGCTCACACATGATGTGGGCCTATGGTTTATAAGAGTAAGTTTCCTCTGAGTCATCACTGAAGACTTTCAAAAGACTTTAAGACTGACCTTGCTTTGGCAAGTAGTCCCAGAACATTTATCTCCTACACCACGTTTTCCAGAAGCTGTGTCACGCGTAGGCTATCCAATTATTTTCCATCGTTCCTATAGACACAAGCAGAAGAGAAAAACTAAACTGTGATGAAAAGGGCCTGTAATAATGGCTATGTTCACAAAGACAGATAAAATTCACAATTAAATGTTTGCCCAACACATTTTGGGATTCTGGAGAGTGTTGCAACACACGGTTAGTTAGAAATTCCTATTATATTCTAATATATTTTTACTATTTAAAATAACTGCTTTCTATTTGAATATATTTTAAAATGTAATTTATTTCTGTGATTTCAAAGCTGAATTATTGTTGAAAACAGCTGAGTAGAATGTTTTCAGGTTTCTTTGATGAACAGAAAGTTCAGAAAAACAGCATTTATCTGAAATAGAAATCTTTTGTAACATTATAAATGTCTTTATCATCACTTTTGATCCATTTAAAACATCATTCCTATAATGTTACAAAAGCTTTTTATTTCAGATAAATGCTGATTTTTGGATCTTTCTATTCATCAAAGAATCCTGAAACAAAATGTACTCAACTGTTTTAAATATTAATATTAATAATAATAATAATAAATGTTTTTTGAGCAGCAGATCAGCATATTAGAATGATTTCTGAAGATCATGTGACACTGAAGACTGGAGGAATGATGCTGAAAATACAGCTGCGCATCACAGAAATACATTACAGTTTAACATATATTAAAATAGGACGCAGTTATTTTAAATAGTAAAAATATTTCAGAATATTACTGAGTTTGCTGTATTTGGGATCAAATAAATGCAGGCTTGATGAGCAGAAGAGACTTCTTTATAAACATTAAAAATATTACTGTTCAAAAAGTTTTGACTGGTAGTGTATGTCTATGCAAAAATATAAGTGGTTCACATTATGTAATGCATTATAATGACATAACTGATATCATCTGAATCAGCAGATTCTATTGTGCTCTTGTTATTCTACTCGACCTACAATCATTGCAACAACTCATCAAAATGAGACTGTATTGTGACGCAGGTGTGAAAGTGACTAACATGCACATGCATGCACACACACACATACGCACGCACACACGCACACACACACACACATGCATGCAAACACACACACACGCACACACACACACACATGCATGCAAACACACACACACACACGCATGTACATTATATACTAATGTCTAGTATAATTACAAAACAAAGCTGGACAATTAGCATGTTGTTAAACAACAGTACAATCCATTGAACACACTGAACTCCAGTCCCTTTACAGCCAGTTTCATTAGTCTAAAATATATATATATATATGTGACATACTGTACAACATATGTCAAACATACATTGTCTGACTTAAAGGGATAGTTATAGGGACCAAAAATGAAAATTCTGTCTTCATGTTTTGACCCTCGTGTTGTTCCAAACCTGTGAGAGTTTATTTCTGCTGTTGAACAAAGAAAGAAGATATTTTTACTGATATTTTTATTTTAACAGTTGCTGGTAGCCATTGACTTCCATGGTATTTTCCCCTACTGTGGCAACCAGCAACTGCTACCATCATTCTTGAAAATATGATCAAAACTGATGTTTTGTAATTTTCGATGTAATCTTTATTCTGTCTTCCATAAAACTAGCTGAAAACTAAACCAACTAGAAAGAAAAAAAAAACATGTGATTGTCAACAGTTCCCGCTATTACTGCTGGACTGAAGATACTTTTTCATGGCATGCATAGGGGAAGAAAAATATATACATATAAGGATAAACAGTCCAAAAACTGTGATCCAAAAACACAGATGGGACAAACATAAATCAAACCACAGTCTGGTATCAGACCTAGACATCCTCAGAACAAACTGTATTTTAGACAGATTTTTACTTAGACAGATTTAACCAAGTATGACCAGTATAGTTTACCATGGAAACTGATTATTAACTGATAACTGAATGAACCGGGAACATGAGGACATCTGTTGGTCGCAGGGGAAACTGTGACTTGTGAGTGACATTGATTTACTTTGGTTTTATTTTAGCAAACAATATGTTGACTGGCCTTTAGTACAACAAGTTCAACAATCTACTCCGTTAACAGTAAAACACTACGCTAGTGCACAAGTGCATGTTGGTGAAGCTGACTTTAGAGTGACAACCTTCAAAGAAAGCATGAGATGATGAAGTTTGCCGGAGCTCCTCTACAGAACATCAGCCGCACATTCCCTGCACAGCTGGATCCTCACAGCACAATAGCGGTTGCAATGTTAGATATACTGCAGCTCATCACAACATAGATGGCAGATCTGTCTGCATTTTCATTAACTTGTTTATTTATGATTTGCATAAATATTTGAACGGAAATAGTAACCTGCTGACACATGAAACATAAGGTTTAGTTTTACATTAGATTCTTTTATGAGCATCAGCTGTGTAAAACGTTTTAAAAGTCATTAGAAAAAAAATCACAAAGTTAAAAAAAGCTTTGAACGCTGTTTTACAATGAAGTTTCTTTCAGAGCGCTCATGTAAAACTCCAAAGATCTGTATTATTTTAAGATATGTACCGATTTTTTCTTTTCTTTTCGTTGGAACAGAACTGCTCGGGAGTTTAGCTGAAATGTGACGGCAATAAAGCTGGAGCATGCATTTTTTCTGTGCTACTACTGTCACCTAGCAGAACTATAATAAGGTATAAAAGCTCCAACATATTAGGAAAACTTTTATCTTGAAATGTAGCTTACCTGTCGAGAAGAAACTCCACACCAGTTAAACACCCTCTGGCTCAGCCTGCTGTGGAAGCCACGCCCCCAAACTCTCGCTATTGGCTGCGCAGAGGTATGCAAATACGTATGCCAAAAAAAGTATTTATAAGCCTATGTATTATTCTACCATTATATTTTTGGCTGATTTATTGTAAGCTACATTTTTTAAATATATATTTTTAAAAAAGCATTTAAAGAATATATATTTTGCTCTCCATAAATTGAAATTCATGAAAATACATTAATCGCAGTTGAAGAAAAAAATATATATTTATTTGTTGTGAACATATAACACATTTGAATAAAAATAAATAATGAATAAAACCTTATAGGCTACTGTGAGACTGGAAATGTATTTTCTTGCCCCTGAAATACATTTTAAAATATATTTTGGTTTGAAGATTGAAAATAAATGTATTTTTCAATTTCAAAAATATATATCATCGAGCTTTGCGGTTTACAACATATATTCAGCAAAACATTTTAAATATATTTTAGTCAAAAAAATAAAAAAGCCAAACACAAAATACGTTTTTATTACAAACATCTTGTGAAGTTCTTCTTTCTCTAATTTAAGACTTCCATAACTGATATTTAAGACTTTTTAATGCTATTTAACATGTCCTTTTTAATCACCCGTGGGTTCCCTGGTTCTTATACATGTAGCCTATAAACCAGCTATTACCTAAATTCATCTGAAAGCCAAGGAATATCTGAATAATTGTATGAATATGGTGAGAATGGTGAATGGAGTAGATCAAAACACTGATGCTTTTTTTGTATGAAATTGCAGGTTAGGTTTGGTAATTACAGTCTGTTGCATTGGCATGCCCAATCACACCCATGTACACTAATATCGCACAGTAATTTCAAGATACTTAGTACAACATTTATCTGAATCACACACACAAAGGATGTACAGTCAGGTTAGAAGAACGCGGTAACATACACAATGAGGCATGGCCACTTGAATACACTTGTAAATACATAGTCTTTGACTCTTTTGTATTGCATTTGGACAATCATGTCTGTATAGGCAAACACACACACACACACACACACACACACACATTCACACAAACACACACACACACACACACAGACACACGCATGTGTGTCTGTGTGTGTGTGTGTGTGTGTCTGTGTGTATATATATTTAATTTTAAATTGTAACCCTAACTCTAAATGGTGCATATACTTATCTTGAAGGTATTATATATAGCACCTAAAGGATACATATTTGTACCTTTCGAATAGGCACCGCCCCACTGACAGCTTTCGTAACTTTATTATGTCTGAGAATGTATTGCATTTCCAGAGTCCTGTCTGTATCCATATCCTTCCCGTCACACACACACACATTTAGTTTTCATGACGTGCCCATAAAGAGACGAGAAGAGCTGTGAAGTCTGTAACTGGAGGGCATGTTTTCTAACGTGTGGTGACTTCTCTAGACTGGGTGTGGAAGCTGAGAAAACAAAAACGTGAATCATTCTGATCAATGTGTGACGGTGTCTTAAACACTCACTGTTTGTCATAGTTACTAACAATGATATGTTAGAACAGCTGACGAATGAAAGAAATAGCAACATAATAGCAAACATTAGAGCTTCTTGGGGAGATGAGAGAATATATTAATAATAAATAAGGCAACACTTTAGTTTGAGGACCGACTAGTTGCTTATTTGCATTCATATTACTAGTATATTGGCTGTTTATTAGTACTTATAAAGCACATATTAATGCCTTATTCTGCATATTTTAGATCCATTAACCCTAACCTATACCTAAACTTAACAACTACCTTACTAACTATTAATAAGCAGCAAATCAGGAGATTACTGAGGGAGAAGTCATAGTTTATAGTGAATATGTGTTTCCTAGTATTACCAATCATTTAATATAATAACAAAATGTGATACAATAAATCCAGCAACCTCAGTTAATGCATTAGGCACACTTAACTAAAAAAAATAGCATCTTAATTTATTGTATTAAAATAAGTAAATTCTGTAAAAATAAATAAATTGGTAACACTTTAGTATAGGGACCGATTCACACTATTAACTAGTTGCTTATTAGCATGCCTATTATTTACATATTGGCTGTTTATCAGTACTTATAAATCACATATTAATGTCTTATTCTGCATGACAACTAATCCTACCAAATACTTAATCTTAACAACTACCTTACTAACTATTATCAAGCAGCAAATTAGGAGTTTATTGGGGCAAAAGTCTTAGTTAATGGTTTGTTAATACCGAGAATTGCACCTTAAAATAAAGTGTGGCCAAATAGGTTATAAAGGATTGAACAATATTACTACCTACTAACTATTAGTAAGCAGCATTAAAAGTTTACTGAGGCAAAAGTCATACTTAATTGTTGATTAATAGTGAGAATTGGTCCCTAAACTAAAGTGTGGCCAACAAATAATGAACACAGCAATGTTCACACTTTTGTTAGAGGAGCAATTCTCACTATTAACTAAGTATTAAGTATGACTTTAGGGTTAGGGTTAGGGTTTAAAAACTTAGTTTTTAAGTTTAGGTACTGTATGATTAAATGATCTAAAATATTGTCATGCAGAATAAGGCATTAATATGTGCTTTATAAGTACAAATAAACAGCCAATATACTAGTAATATGCATGCTAATAAGCAAAGTGAGAATTGTTCCCTAAACTAAAGTGTTCAAATCAGCTACTGATAAAGTGCTTGGGTCTCTCTCGAGTGAATGTGTGTGTTTTTCACTACACTACAGTGCAGCACATGCCTAACCTCTTTGCATAGCTAAGCGTGACTCAGTTTCCTGGTTCATCTGAGGTCTGGGGCGTTTTCTCCCTCTTTAAGAAGAGCGTACCTGAGCGCAACACGAGTTATTTCACACGGGAATGTCAGGATCAGCGGCGTGGCGGAGTGCAGCACTGAGGGCCCTTGCGTTCGGGGCCCTGCTTGTGCTGGTTTGTGGGGGACCCAGACCCGGACACAGGAGTGTGCAGCATCAGAGAGAACAGGCAGAGTGGACTCAGAGAGTTCAGTATCCAGCGGTCAACGATGCACAGCGCATCCAGATCCCTTCAGTGGACGATGCACAGGTAACGAGAAATATTCTATGCATTTGTGTGAATGAAAATGGGTTCATATTGAAATGTGATGATGGATGAATACAGTTTTTGCATATAATTTCATTCAGCTCACATAATTCTATATTGTATAAAGAGGTGTGAAGTACTTGCACTGAAACAAAAAATGTGCTGTAGAATCAGTTTTCACTCAGAAATTGCTTGTAATTTCACAATTAATTCCAAAAATGGCATTGAATTAAATGTGTAATTTTGAAGTAGTTATGAAATGGTATTTCCTTGTAAAATGTACTCCAATATATATATTTTTTGTTTTATTTACAATTCTGAAATCACTTTTTATAGTGAATACTCTTATTTTGTACAAAGTGTAGATTGTGATTAACACTTAATTCTTACTCTTTTATTTAGACCGCTAGAGTACCAGAGTCATGACTTAAAATATATGCCGTTTTTTTTTTGTCAATCAAATATGTTGATATGTAGATGAACTTGTGTAGCCAGTGCATTAATTCCAGTGTAAATGGTATGGTCATGAAGAGATATTACATTGATCACTAAAGCTATAATTATTGATTGCTGAATGCAACTAAAGTGTACACTCTATGAACAACTCAATTCCAACATACAAGTTCAGTTAAATGGTTTCAGGACAGATTTGAGATTCAAATCTAATATGTGGTGATAGCCTGGCATTGAGAAAATAATGTTTTTTTTTTTGATGAACTATTCTTTTGGGTATATATATATATATATATATATTTTCTTTGTCTGAGTGCTTTTACTTTTGACAAAGTTCTTTCAATTTATCAGTATATTTCACCTCTGACAATCTGTTATACATAAAACATTAACTAAAATAAAAATGAAAAATAAATAAAAATAAAACTGATTTAAAATAATAAAAACCATAATAGCATCTCAATAATACTCAAAAAAGTTAAGTATTTCATATGTTTTGTGTTTAGTTTTTCTCTCTCTCACTTTTGTTTTGTGCATTGTTTTACCAGTAATGAAAAGTTTTTTTGATTAATGACTTTATTGATTTATTGAAACACTCCCTGTTGTCTGTCATCAGAGATGCTCTGCTGGTTTCTATCTGGACAGAAGCGGTCTGTTTGCTCGTTGTGCTCGCTGCTCCTGTAACAGCTTCTCTAACGAGTGCGAGGAAAACACCGGCCGATGTCTGGTAATAATGCGCTCTGTCTTTAGTATCGCACCGTGGATTTGTTGCTTGTGCACACATTTATTTTTCTGTTTAATTGAGTAACACACATGCTCTGTTGAACAGAACTGCGGTGATAATAGAGCAGGGGATCACTGTGAGCGCTGTAGAGATGGATTTTACTCAGATGCAGCACAGAGGAGATGCAGCGCGTGCCCATGTCCTCTCAGCAACAATGCCAACAAGTAAGACTCACATCTGTGACAGAAAAAGCACTGACAGTTTTGAGGCGAGAGACTGCTGGTATATTGATATTTTGGGCATTTTGGCTTTTCTTAAAGTGTTTACAGACCAGTGGACAGAAAACCCCCAAAATACACTTTTGTGTTTCTTTTATTGCACTTTATCTGTTCACATCTGTGGATTTCAATTACAGCCACCAAAATATTGTGCAGCACAACTGTTTTCAACATTGATAATAATCAGAAATGTTTCTCGGGAATGTCAGGATCAGCGGCGTGGCGGAGTGCAGCACTGAGGGCCCTTGCGTTCGGGGCCCTGCTTGTGCTGGTTTGTGGGGGACCCAGACCCGGACACAGGAGTGTGCAGCATCAGAGAGAACAGGCAGAGTGGACTCAGAGAGTTCAGTATCCAGCGGTCAACGATGCACAGCGCATCCAGATCCCTTCAGTGGACGATGCACAGGTAACGAGAAATATTCTATGCATTTGTGTGAATGAAAATGGGTTCATATTGAAATGTGATGATGGATGAATACAGTTTTTGCATATAATTTCATTCAGCTCACATAATTCTATATTGTATAAAGAGGTGTGAAGTACTTGCACTGAAACAAAAAATGTGCTGTAGAATCAGTTTTCACTCAGAAATTGCTTGTAATTTCACAATTAATTCCAAAAATGGCATTGAATTAAATGTGTAATTTTGAAGTAGTTATGAAATGGTATTTCCTTGTAAAATGTACTCCAATATATATATTTTTTGTTTTATTTACAATTCTGAAATCACTTTTTATAGTGAATACTCTTATTTTGTACAAAGTGTAGATTGTGATTAACACTTAATTCTTACTCTTTTATTTAGACCGCTAGAGTACCAGAGTCATGACTTAAAATATATGCCGTTTTTTTTTTGTCAATCAAATATGTTGATATGTAGATGAACTTGTGTAGCCAGTGCATTAATTCCAGTGTAAATGGTATGGTCATGAAGAGATATTACATTGATCACTAAAGCTATAATTATTGATTGCTGAATGCAACTAAAGTGTACACTCTATGAACAACTCAATTCCAACATACAAGTTCAGTTAAATGGTTTCAGGACAGATTTGAGATTCAAATCTAATATGTGGTGATAGCCTGGCATTGAGAAAATAATGTTTTTTTTTTTGATGAACTATTCTTTTGGGTATATATATATATATATATATTCTTTGTCTGAGTGCTTTTACTTTTGACAAAGTTCTTTCAATTTATCAGTATATTTCACCTCTGACAATCTGTTATACATAAAACATTAACTAAAATAAAAATGAAAAATAAATAAAAATAAAACTGATTTAAAATAATAAAAACCATAATAGCATCTCAATAATACTCAAAAAAGTTAAGTATTTCATATGTTTTGTGTTTAGTTTTTCTCTCTCTCACTTTTGTTTTGTGCATTGTTTTACCAGTAATGAAAAGTTTTTTTGATTAATGACTTTATTGATTTATTGAAACACTCCCTGTTGTCTGTCATCAGAGATGCTCTGCTGGTTTCTATCTGGACAGAAGCGGTCTGTTTGCTCGTTGTGCTCGCTGCTCCTGTAACAGCTTCTCTAACGAGTGCGAGGAAAACACCGGCCGATGTCTGGTAATAATGCGCTCTGTCTTTAGTATCGCACCGTGGATTTGTTGCTTGTGCACACATTTATTTTTCTGTTTAATTGAGTAACACACATGCTCTGTTGAACAGAACTGCGGTGATAATAGAGCAGGGGATCACTGTGAGCGCTGTAGAGATGGATTTTACTCAGATGCAGCACAGAGGAGATGCAGCGCGTGCCCATGTCCTCTCAGCAACAATGCCAACAAGTAAGACTCACATCTGTGACAGAAAAAGCACTGACAGTTTTGAGGCGAGAGACTGCTGGTATATTGATATTTTGGGCATTTTGGCTTTTCTTAAAGTGTTTTTACAGACCAGTGGACAGAAAACCCCCAAAATACACTTTTGTGTTTCTTTTATTGCACTTTATCTGTTCACATCTGTGGATTTCAATTACAGCCACTAAAATATTGTGCAGCACAACTGTTTTCAACATTGATAATAATCAGAAATGTTTCTCGAGCAGCAGATCAGCATATTATACTGATTTCTGAAGATCATGTGACACTGAAGACTGGAGGAATGATGCTGAAAATACAGCTGCGCATCACAGACATACATTACAGTTTAATATATTGAAAACACTTATAATATTTCACAATTTTTACTGTATTTTTGATCTAATAATGTAGCCTTGTTGAGCAGAAGAGACATACTTAAGGGTTTTACAAAGGGTTATTTTTCATATATCATTCACTTGATTTTATTTAAAATTGTATTCCTAAAATTTTTTTATTTTTTTTGCCTATTGACAGTATTTTCTGATTTATGGAGTGATAAAAAGATAAATCCAAAATTCCCTCGGTCCAATACCCCCTATGATAATGCCTCATTTGCATATTCAAACATAACGTTTCAGAAAATTTGTAATACAAAAACCAAACAAAAATTAGCAATTGTACAGTAACGAACATTTGGTTGAACATTTGGGAATGTGCATATTTACCATTTGCCATGAAAATAATGTTCTAATGTAAAAAGGATAGATATATAGATAGATGTTGCAATGGAGGGTTGAAATAATCTTGTCTCTGAATAGCTTCATTCCCAATATGTCTTGTGTCTTTCATAGTGTGCAGGAATTCTCTGGAGCTCCAAGACACAAATACAGAAGAGCAGTGTGAAGGTAGAGGATTTTCACACAAACCACAGGGTTCCACTGTTTGTTTTCAGTATCTGCTTTTGTTGTCTTGTCCTGTGCTATTTTGTAACGGTGTGCGTGATTTTTTTTTTCAGAGTGTGATAACTGTGCACAGACATTACTGAATGATCTGGAAAAGCTTGATATTGAGCTGAGGAGAATTAAAGATCAACTGGATTTGGACTCTCTCAGACCTTCATCAAAAGCACATCTGAGGAAGCTTGAAGAAGCCATTACTGCCACAACGGTATTCCTTCATCTCCTTCTGTAGTTTCCCTGATTTATCCTTTCTTATTCCTCAATATTCTGTCCTGAGAAAGATTTTATTTTTTTTTCCACCGAGGGTGAATTCTATATAATGCTGTAATTTGTAAGTTATACAATGGAAAGTCAAAAGTTATAACTGCACATAGAACAACTGTGATCATGTTAGGGTCTATCAAACACACACACACATGCACGCACACACACACACGCATGCACACACGCACACACACACACACAGTTCTGTTATTAAGGGCTGTTGCATGAAATCAGTGGGTGGTTCGAAATAACATAGCGTTTATCATTTACCTTAGAATCCACATCAGCTCACTCATCAGCATAATGCACAGTTAGATTAATGCATTAAATGCATCCAATGCATTGAATGGAGTCTGGAACATTCTGTGGGCAATTTGGTGATTCAGCGAAATTTACAGACATGACTGAACATTCACAGCACTTGAAAGGTTGTTTCAACCACTAAGCCTATAAAAAAAAAAAAGAAGAAAAAAAATCCTAATTTTATAAGCAGGTCTAGTCAGCAAAGGTTTCCATTACTTTAATAAAATAAATGCATGCATGTCTAACATATTTGCATTTCATAAACGTGATCCATTTGACAAACCTTATTCCTATTTTGTATTTTTTTAAGAGCAAAGACTTGCATTTAGTCTCTTTTGAATGTTTTTTCCATGTGCTTTCACTGCAAACAGCCTGTAAACCCCCTTATTCTCCTGCAGGTCTGTCTTTTAAACAATGGAGAGATTGACAACACCTTACAAAATCACATACAACTGTTCCCAAACTCAATAAGCATTAACAGAGCAGATGTCTGTTTGATATTTTCATAACGCAATGTCAATAACGACCCAGACTATACTCTGCGATCCAGTTTTTGTTAATGCTGAAATCCATGTTTTGCAGAACATGCATGAATAATGAACAACACATCTCATTTAGCTCTTAATACTCATGGTGTTTTTTTCTTTCAGAACCTGGTGAACACATTCAGCTCTACCGTCGACAATCAGGTGCCTAAAATTAACCAGCTGGAACAAGATGTTTCTAATCTGGGCGAAGATATGGACAGTCTAAAAGAACAGGTACTTGAAGATATGTTTTCTGATACAAAAACATGCAGATTTCATGCAGAATGCTTGTTATAAGCAAGTGAGAAATCCCGTGCATCAAAAGTCTCTTTTGAATGTTTTTTCCATGTGCTTTCACTGCAAACAGCCTGTAAACCCCCTTATTCTCCTGCAGGTCTGTCTTTTAAACAATGGAGAGATTGACAACACCTTACAAAACCACATACAACTGTTCCCAAACTCAATAAGCATCAACAGAGCAGATGTCTGTTTGATATTTTCATAACGCAATGTCAATAACGACCCAGACTATACTCTGCGATCCAGTTTTTGTTAATGCTGAAATCCATGTTTTGCAGAACATGCATGAATAATGAACAACAAATCTCATTTAGCTCTTAATACTCATGGTGTTTTTTTCTTTCAGAACCTGGTGAACACATTCAGCTCTACCGTCGACAATCAGGTGCCTAAAATTAACCAGCTGGAACAAGATGTTTCTAATCTGGGCGAAGATATGGACAGTCTAAAAGAACAGGTACTTGAAGATATGTTTTCTGATACAAAAACATGCAGATCTCATGCAGAATGCTTGTTATAAGCAAGTGAGAAATCCCGTGCATCAAAAAATATATTCTTTAAAATATATTTCATAATATACAAAAAAGGGCCAACAACTATATGTGTTAAAATACATCTAAAAATATATTTATGTAAATATATTTGCTTATATATTTTTTTGCCATTTTTGAAAATGCATTTTTTTTTTTATATATATATTTTTTAAAGCTTTATTTTTATAATTTTTTTTGCTCTCCATGTATTTCAGTCCAAGAAAATATAATCACATTTCACATTTGAAGAAAAATCATCAAGGTTTTTTTTTTCTTTGGTTATATGTTGAAGCTAAATATATTTCCATTCATGCAGAATGCTTGTTATAAGCAAGTGAGAAATCCCGTGCATCAAAAAATATATTCTTTAAAATATATTTCATAATATACAAAAAAGGGCCAACAACTATATGTGTTAAAATACATCTAAAAATATATTTATGTAAATATATTTGCTTATATATTTTTTTTGCCATTTTTGAAAATGCATTTTTTTTTTTTTTATATATTTTTTAAAGCTTTATTTTTATAATTTTTTTTGCTCTCCATGTATTTCAGTCCAAGAAAATATAATCACATTTCACATTTGAAGAAAAATCATCAAGGTTTTTTTTTTCTTTGGTTATATGTTGAAGCTAAATATATTTCCAATTTCAAAATATATTTAATTGAGCTTCACAGTTTACAACATATTTTTAGCATATATTAAAAATATATATTTTGGACAGAAATAAATATATATTGTTTTATTGTCGTATGGGATGTTTGCTGCTTGCTGGGCTGTTCAGATCTGAGATCTCTCTATTTTCATTACACTTGCTGGAGATCAAATATTTTATCAAGCCGTTGTATGTCCAGGTCTGGAAGCAAACCGAGGATTCGCAGAAAGCACTTTCTAACGCTGAAAACAGCCACGAACGAGCAAAAGATCTGGACACCGAGACACAGAACCTCCTCAGAAAAATACAAGGTAAAACACAAACAGATTTGGGGTTTATATTAATAATAATGCATTACCTGTAATTCTGTGCAATGAATGAGGACAGACTTGTTTTGTAGAGCTGCTCATTTATTTGTATAGCAATAAGCCTTCTCATAAAAGAAGGTATAAAACAATCACTGGGGCGGCACCCTTTCAAAAGCTACTGATATGTACATTTAAGGAACTCATTTGTACCGTTTAGGGGTAAGTAAGGTACACAGATGTCATGGGTTTGTCAAACTGGGTTAGCAGTGCTGCTTTTGTATGCTGTGTTGGTAAATGGCCGCAGGTGTGGTGTTTTCTCACTGTTGAGGATCAGGATGACTGAATAGCAGGCCTGTCCTGACAGATCCTGTGTGCTGTGAACAATGCCATAATACACAGACCCGAGCTGAATGAATGTCTCCAGCCACTGTTCCCAAAGGCTATGATTTATTTTATCCCTCATAACGCATTCGGTTCATTTTGACCTTGAAGAGATACAAAAAAAAATAAAAAATAAATAAATAAAAATACTACACATTTTGTGTTCAGGTCATTTTCGCCCAGTATGTATGGAGCACCATTAGTGTCAAAAACACTTTTTGTAATGTAAGTTATGTTAATGTATAAAAATTTTTTGTAATATATATTGAACCTTTTCCCCATATCTCACACACTTTTGGGACTGAATTTTATTGATGAACATGATTATGTATACCTTCTGATGAACCATTGCGGCATGAAAAATATCACTTTTAAGGTTTATGCAAGTAAAATAATTTAATAAAATGAAATCTATTTTGTTTGACATGTGTAGTAATATTTGTTGTTTTGTTAGAAATAAATATGTAGGTTTCATACATTTGGATTGTTTTTTAGCAATCACGAGTTCATAAATTCAAAGGAATTTAATCAACTTAAATGTATAATTCATTATGGTTTTATGTGTAATTTGAAAGTTCTCTTTTTTTTGTATATATACTTAAAAAGATGTAAACGCAGTAATAACATGATAATAACACAGTAACGTTCAAAATTCATAACATTCACTCATTAATAAGCAACTTCTCATTAACTTCTCAACAACTTCTCATTAATGAATGAATGTGAAAGATGTGAAAACATTTCAAAGTTCTGAATGATACTATGTTATTACCATGATGCTACTGCATTTACCCCTTTTTTAGTTGTAATAATGATTAAGGAATGAAATATGCACTGTATGTATGATATTTGTACTGTATTTGTTCTTCAGAGCTCCTGAAGCAGCTGATGGACACAAACAGCAGTGGATCAGCTTTGCCCAACGCAGATTTAGCCAAACTCCTGGAACAGTCTGAGAACATGGTGAAGGAGATGGAAAAACGACACTTCACTACACAGAAAGATGCAGCCAGGAAAGAGCAAGCTGAAGCAAACAAATGTACAGTTACTGTCGATTTAGCTTGTGCATGTCTAAGCTATCACCTAATCATTACTGAGAGTTGCAGTATTAATGTTTGGCCATTTCACATTTATGTTTTCATTGTAGTTTTAGAGAATGTCAAAAACATCTTAAAGCAGTGCGATGAGAATGAAGCGGCGTCGAAGCGTGCTGACGATCTACTGAGCAGCTATGAGGCCAAACTGAAAGAGTTAGAGGATCTGCTCAAACAGGCTGATAATACGGTGAAGAAAGCCATCAATCAGAACGACATCAACACTGAAGGCCTTAAAGACATTCTGGTAAGAATCTAGAACGGTACAATCCTCAGAGCACAAAAACACATGCTAGCAATAGAGAATGTACATTAGGTTGTTGTTTGTTTTGTTTTTTTCAGAAACGAGTGAAAGATCTGGAGCGTGAGAGAGACCTTGTCCAGGATCAGATTGTTCTTGCGGTGAAACAGCTGAAAGACACTGAGGACGTCCTGAATATGTTCAGTGACAGCAAAATGGTAAACCTTCAGAAACACAGAGACAGTATAAGAAACATGACACAAATATTCCCAGGTCAAAGAGAAAAATAAGAAACAATATTTAGCATATATGAAGGCAGATTATGTATGTATGTGTGTATGCATTTCCTACATAATCCCACGGTAACAAATATTAATTGACCTAAAACACTTTTCATTTACTTATTAATTATTATAATTATATAGCTATATATTTATATAAAAATGTATATATAATTCTAAATATCAGTGTTGTTTAAGTATAATTGATATCATTTTTAATTAGATTTTACATTTATATTTTCTATGCTTTCATGTTCATTTTAGTTAAAGTGTTAGTAAGTTTGTGTTTTTGTCATTTTTATTAACTTTTGTTGTTTTTATGTCTATTTAGTTTTTATTTCAGTTTTAGTTTTACGAGATGAAAACGAGTAACCTGCCTTGGTAGGGCTGTACAGAATGTGAGTGGGCGCTCTGGTGTGCAAACCGCTCTCTCTGGGATAGAGGCGTACAAAAACATCACCGACGCTGTCAACGCTGCAGAGGAGGCGGCGAAGAAGGCCAAAGATGCGGCAGGCAAAGCACTCAATGTAGGAGACATCACCAAACACGCATGAATGTCAAAGTTAGGATACATACAGCGGCCCTGGAAAATGAATGGCATTGCATTGGATAACAAAATCAAACCATATAGCATTTATTTTCAAGATATATAGCACAAGCACACTTTCCAAGCCAACACTTCACAAAAATACGTTTAAAATGATAAAACAAAAGATACAGTGTACTCCAATTATTTATTTATTTTTCAGATTATATAGTTCTGAAAAAAAAAAAATTAATTAGTGGCGAAATTTCACTGAAAGCTAATTTTTTGAAATATCAAGCTCATATTTGAAACACAACTTGTTTTGATTTTCATGCAGTTTTAACTTAACTCGATTAACTTAAATGTCTATAACTTTTTTTAATACTTCAGCAATAATGTGCCCAGTGTCTTCTTTAAAAAGAGACCAAACTTAAGTCTGTGCTCCAAAGCATTCAATATTTAATTTGGATTTTTTTTGGAAATTTAATTTGAATTTGAAAATTTCATTTTCAGGTCTATGCTTAAAAAGTGAATGACGGGAATTAAATGGATCACAACTACTGTATAAATATAATTTAGTACAATAAAATCCCCTAAAAATATAAAGTATTAAATTAAAAAACTAAATAAATTTGGTTAAGTGTGACTTTGAGTTTTTAAGCACTTTTTTGGGGGTCAATGTATGTTACCAAACATACATGTGTTGATTTTTTATTATTATAATTTTTTTTTTTTTCAGGACGTCAGTGAAGGGAACTTAATCAACAGGGCAACAAATCTGAAAAGCAATGGCAATAACCTACTTAAAGTTGCCAAAAATGCAGCTAAAGATCTCAAAGGTTTGTATGAATTTAAAATTACAACTCTAGATTAAAACTATAATCAATCATTTGTTATTTAAACACTGTTATTCTGTCTTCATCAGGAGCAACTAAAGACCTCAGTAATCAGAAGGAACGCCTGCAAGCTGCTGAAGAGAAGAAGAAAGCTCTAGAAAAGGAGTTGCTCTCTGTCCAGGAGGGTTTGAAGGGCATTCAGAGAGGTGAGAAAAGAGCACTGCTTGACATTTGACTCTGAGGACAAAACAAGCCCATTCCATACAGTCAGTCTCATATAGCTCAGTTCATTCTGTATGACATCCATTTGGAGGATTGTTTCTTAAGCAGCTTCCTTGCCTAGACTCTTAAAAATAAAGGTGCTTCACGATGCCATAGAAGAACCTTTTTTGTCTAAATGGTTCCATAAAGAACCTTTAACATCTGAAGAACCTTTCTGTTTCACAAAAGCTTCTTTGGGGCGAAAGAAGGTTCTTCAGATTACAAAAAGGTAAGAAAGAGATGGTTCTTTAAAGAACCTTTTACTGAATGGTTCTTTGTGGAACCAAAAATGGTTCTTCTATGGCATCGCTTGAAGAACCTTTTGAAGCACCTTTATTTTTAAGAGCGTAGACTAGCTTAAAGAGACAGTTCACCCAAAAATGAAAATTCTGTCGTCTTTTACTCACCCTCAGGTCATTCCAAACCTGTATGTGTTTCTCTCTTCTGTTGAGCACAAAAGAAGATATTTAAAATTTTACGGCAGCCATTGACTTCCATAGTATTTTTTTATTTCCATACTATAGAAGTAAATGGCTACCGTCAGCTGTTTGATTACACACATTCTTCAAAAATATCGTCTTCTGCATTCAGCAGAAGAAAGAAACTCGTACAGGTTTGGAACGACCTGAGGGTGCGTGAATGATGACAGAATTTTATTTTTATTTTTTTTATGTGAACTGTCCCTTTAAGACAGTTAGCTGATTTTTCAGCATGGACACAAATATGCTTGAAAATAAGTTTTCATTCTGTCCGATCACAGATGACATCGGTAACATTATCGACGCGGCGAAGAAAGCGGCAGCGGCGGCCAATCGCACCACGAGTGACACAATGAACCAGCTAAACGACATCAAAGCAGAAGTTACCAAGATCTCTATTAGTCCTTCTGTCTCGAATATCGACAATGTTCTCAATAATGTGGAAATGACCGGTAAGTGTTGCACCTGTTGTGTTTAATCACATTCTTCAACAACTTCCTCTTTAACTTTATTCTCTTTCTTTCTCTGTTCTTTCCGTCTGACAGTCAGAAATGTGAGCGGCTCCATCCCATCCCTGCTGGATAAAATAGATGAGATCAATTCTCAGATCAGCGCCGGGAACAACGTGTCTGATAATATTAATAAGATAAAGGAACTGATTGAGCAAGCGCGAGATGCTGCTAACAGAGTAAGACTATTCATTTCATATATTCTACACTCTAAATTCAATCCACTGAAAATGAAGTGTAAAGCAACTTAACGTTTTCCAAACACATTTGATTTTAGAAAATCATCTCAAATATGAGTAGAAATAATTGTGACAAGACATATGGATTGAAATAAAGATGCTGTTGATGCTGTCAGGTTTTTTCCCCCTATACCTTTTAAAAGTGAAGCATGATTTGCTCTATAAATGCATTTATTTAATCTAAAATAGTTAAAATAGAGTTTAATCTCCCTTACAGACACTCTCAAGTTGTTCAAAAGTTTCTTTCCTCTGCTGAACACAAAAGAAGATATTTTGAAGAATGTTGGTAACCAAACAGTCAATAGACCCCATTGACTACCATAGTATTTAAAAAAAAATATATATATATATACATATACTGTGGAAGTCAATGGCTACCGGTAACTGATTGGTTACCAACATTCTTCAAAATATCTTCTTTTGTGTTCAGCAAAAGAAAGAAACTCACACAGGTTTGGAACGACTTGAGGGCGAGTAAACGATAACAAACTATTTTCATGTTTGGGTGAACTGTCCCTTTAAATTAAACCACAGTACTTAGATGCTACCGTTTTTAGGTTACAATTATTTTTAGTGTATATCATTTTTACAACCCATAACCAATTTTCCAATTGTTTTCAAGGTTGTCTAGTTAAACATGGCATCTACACTGACCACAGTCCTTAAAGTGGGGTTTAGTATGTTGAGCATGAACCTAAAAATGTTGCATGCAAAAAAAAAAATGTACAAAAGCTGTAACTGGTCTGGTACCCTTTCAAAAGGTACTTATATTTAACTTTTAGGTACTAATATGTACACTTTAGGTACTAATGCATACCTTCAAGGTACTAATATGCTCCTTTTGGGGATAAATAAGGTACAAAGGTATACTTTTTGAAAAGGTTATTCCCCAGTGACAGCTTTTGTACCTTTTTTCCTGAGAGTATAGTTCTCTTCTTAATGTTTCGGTCTTGTGCAGATTGCTGTGCCTATGAAATTCACGGGTAAAGGGCATGTGGAGCTGCGTCCGCCGCGAGACTTGGATGACCTGCGGGCATACACCGCTCTCACCCTGTCCCTCCAGAGACCCGAGAAACCCATCCGGCAGCGACGCCAGACAAATGATGACAGTCTGTTCGTGCTGTACCTCGGAAACAAAGACGTGAGTGTGATCAACTTCAAATCACTCAAATCTTTTCAGGCTAGCTCAGGTAGGATCATTTTAGCTTGAGCCTCATAATGCATTCGTTAAATGTTCTGGCAGGCATCCGGAGACTACATCGGAATGGTTCTTCGCAATAACACCCTGCATGTCATCTATAAGCTCAATGGAGAGGAGTACAATATTGAGGCATCCAGCATCACTGAGTCCTCATCTGATCTGGCTTTCTTCGACAAAATCGACATTTACAGGTATAGTAACATGCATCAATTAAAAAAAACCCAACAACTATTGGTATTGATTTATTTTAGGCTGAAACAGTTTGGTTTGAATCCCAGTGTTTCTCCATTACTTCCTCAAAGCTGTGTGCTATTCCTGTCAATAAAATGAAAAATTACATTTCTCGGTATTGCATAGTAAGTGTGATCATTTAGACGCAGTGAAAGTGGAGTTGCTGCAGTATTATTGCATACGCTTTACCACACGTGTACTACAGTGCATTTGAAAAAATGCAATATTTGTATTACTTTCTGAATGTGAATGTGTTTGTTAGCATCTCCTACAGCATCTATAAGGTTTCACCTATGCATTAGTCTCTTTCCAAACCATTTCCGATATAATCTTGGCTGAATGCATGATTTCTTAACATTATGCTGAATTTTGAACTATCACCTCTGCATTCATGTATATGCAAACAGCTGTGTTTTTTCACATATAGCTGTTGGTAAATATGTTCAAGTTGTGTGTCTATTTAAAGGAATGAAGTATGTTGATTTATCCTTTCTTGGGGCTTTTGCTTGCTTATGCTCAAACTAAAACCGTAGTGCATTTTGGTTACTAACAGTGTCAAATGTCTCTTGCGTTATATTTTATCCACTATATGCACCTGTTTTTTTCCCCCATATGTCATCTAGAATATATCAAGATGCACAAGTTATTCAAACAAAGCAGTTCACGTCAATCAATCCGAAGCCGCCACAGCTGAAAGAAAACCTGGGTGAACTAACACACAACCTGCTGGATCTCAGTCCAGATAAAGTGGTCTTCTATGTTGGAGGTTATCCAGATGACTTCAGGGTAAATATGCATATTTTCTATAGGATTTTGTTGGGGAAAGTTCCTTTTAAAATTAATGCATTATGATATAGTGCTTCATAAACACTTAACTAATTACATTACTAGTCACTTTTTATGTAAAGTAATGCATTACGTTACTTTTGCATTACTTTCTGTCTGAGCTGAGCTTGCTTATTTGTTTTTAATTACAAAAAACTTGTTGTAAAAGTAATGCAATACTTTACTAGTTACTTGGAAAAAAAAGTAATCTGATTATGTGACTCGTGTTACTTGTAAAAACTGGAGCTGTTTAATTCTTGGTGCATTTTTTAAATACATATATGTTTTTAAAAAGAGCATTTCTCTCTTTTTTAGCCACCTGCCTCTCTCAACTATGGCAAATACAAGGGCTGCATTGAGTTTTCCACCTTCAACGACAAATTCATCAGTCTGTACAACTTTAAGAACGCGGTTGATATTAACTTGGAAAACCCTTGCAAGAGGTAAGCTCTTAACACGTGACTGGAGATATGCTGATGTACTTATAAGCAATAATATATTCACAATATAACCCATAATCACTATTGGTTTGCATGTACGTGTTCAGAACAGTGACTTCGAACATCACATTGAGTAAAATCCATTTCTGTTTCTTTTTGCTCAGACAAATCCCACTGACGATCTCAGAGTCAGATTATTATGAAGGCACCGGTTACGCCAAAGTCCTGCTTGAAAGATTCCCCAACTATCTGTGGATCATTCAGAAAGTGGAGACGAGAGCTAAGGATGCTCTTTTGCTGTATTTAGGAGACGAGGAGGATGTAAGAGTCTTTCATACACATTTCCCATTAAAGTAATTATTATTTTATTTAGTTCTTTTCTTGTTTTCTTCATACCCTATCAGGACTTTTTCTACAGCGTCTCTCTTGAGAAAGGTTACGTTGTTCTGCGTGGCCAAAACAAAAATAATATTTTGGAGACCGTCAGAAGTCAGGACAAGCCAAGTCTTTCTCCGGTAAGGACGAGCCAAGTTGACTTTTTGTCTTTAAGATGTTGTATAAAGTCACAGCAGTGACAATTAAATTGCACTGTCTTTTGTATTTCAGGAAACAGATGTGAAAGTCTTGATTATTGCAGGAAGAGAGATTAAAGTCCGAGTCGGGAACACCGAGGTCAAAATGACGGACGTCATTCCACAAACGTTCAAGCACTTCTACGTCGGCGGGATTCCCAACTCTTTGCGTGAGAGGTCCGTGTCTTTCTGTATCACGAACTGCACTTTTTTATTACTTCATAATGTTCTCTGAGGTCTGCTTATAATGCTAGCAAGAATGTTGCACCCATAAAAACATCATAATTTAGAAGTAATAGGCAGAGCTGGGTAGATTACTTACAAATTGTAATCCGTAACTGATTCCAAATCACATGACAAAAATCGTCAGTAATGTAATCCATTACATTACACATTTTAGGTAATGTAATCAGACTACTTTAGATTACTAACTCGTTTATCACACTGATTTAAATAGGATAACCTTGTACTATATTGATAATGCTGCTAACAGAGTAAGACTATTCATTTCATATATTCTACACTCTAAATTCAATCCACTGAAAATGAAGTGTAAAGCAACTTAACGTTTTCCAAACACATTTGATTTTAGAAAATCATCTCAAATATGAGTAGAAATAATTGTGACAAGACATATGGATTGAAATAAAGATGCTGTTGATGCTGTCAGGTTTTTTCCCCCTATACCTTTTAAAAGTGAAGCATGATTTGCTCTATAAATGCATTTATTTAATCTAAAATAGTTAAAATAGAGTTTAATCTCCCTTACAGACACTCTCAAGTTGTTCAAAAGTTTCTTTCCTCTGCTGAACACAAAAGAAGATATTTTGAAGAATGTTGGTAACCAAAGAAGATATTTTGAAGAATGTTGGTAACCAAACAGTCAATAGACCCCATTGACTTCCATAGTATTTAAAAAAAAATATATATATATATACATATACTGTGGAAGTCAATGGCTACCGGTAACTGATTGGTTACCAACATTCTTCAAAATATCTTCTTTTGTGTTCAGCAAAAGAAAGAAACTCACACAGGTTTGGAACGACTTGAGGGCGAGTAAACGATAACAAACTATTTTCATGTTTGGGTGAACTGTCCCTTTAAATTAAACCACAGTACTTAGATGCTACCGTTTTTAGGTTACAATTATTTTTAGTGTATATCATTTTTACAACCCATAACCAATTTTCCAATTGTTTTCAAGGTTGTCTAGTTAAACATGGCATCTACACTGACCACAGTCCTTAAAGTGGGGTTTAGTATGTTGAGCATGAACCTAAAAATGTTGCATGCAAAAAAAAAAATGTACAAAAGCTGTAACTGGTCTGGTACCCTTTCAAAAGGTACTTATATTTAACTTTTAGGTACTAATATGTACACTTTAGGTACTAATGCATACCTTCAAGGTACTAATATGCTCCTTTTGGGGATAAATAAGGTACAAAGGTATACTTTTTGAAAAGGTTATTCCCCAGTGACAGCTTTTGTACCTTTTTTCCTGAGAGTATAGTTCTCTTCTTAATGTTTCGGTCTTGTGCAGATTGCTGTGCCTATGAAATTCACGGGTAAAGGGCATGTGGAGCTGCGTCCGCCGCGAGACTTGGATGACCTGCGGGCATACACCGCTCTCACCCTGTCCCTCCAGAGACCCGAGAAACCCATCCGGCAGCGACGCCAGACAAATGATGACAGTCTGTTCGTGCTGTACCTCGGAAACAAAGACGTGAGTGTGATCAACTTCAAATCACTCAAATCTTTTCAGGCTAGCTCAGGTAGGATCATTTTAGCTTGAGCCTCATAATGCATTCGTTAAATGTTCTGGCAGGCATCCGGAGACTACATCGGAATGGTTCTTCGCAATAACACCCTGCATGTCATCTATAAGCTCAATGGAGAGGAGTACAATATTGAGGCATCCAGCATCACTGAGTCCTCATCTGATCTGGCTTTCTTCGACAAAATCGACATTTACAGGTATAGTAACATGCATCAATTAAAAAAAACCCAACAACTATTGGTATTGATTTATTTTAGGCTGAAACAGTTTGGTTTGAATCCCAGTGTTTCTCCATTACTTCCTCAAAGCTGTGTGCTATTCCTGTCAATAAAATGAAAAATTACATTTCTCGGTATTGCATAGTAAGTGTGATCATTTAGACGCAGTGAAAGTGGAGTTGCTGCAGTATTATTGCATACGCTTTACCACACGTGTACTACAGTGCATTTGAAAAAATGCAATATTTGTATTACTTTCTGAATGTGAATGTGTTTGTTAGCATCTCCTACAGCATCTATAAGGTTTCACCTATGCATTAGTCTCTTTCCAAACCATTTCCGATATAATCTTGGCTGAATGCATGATTTCTTAACATTATGCTGAATTTTGAACTATCACCTCTGCATTCATGTATATGCAAACAGCTGTGTTTTTTCACATATAGCTGTTGGTAAATATGTTCAAGTTGTGTGTCTATTTAAAGGAATGAAGTATGTTGATTTATCCTTTCTTGGGGCTTTTGCTTGCTTATGCTCAAACTAAAACCGTAGTGCATTTTGGTTACTAACAGTGTCAAATGTCTCTTGCGTTATATTTTATCCACTATATGCACCTGTTTTTTTCCCCCATATGTCATCTAGAATATATCAAGATGCACAAGTTATTCAAACAAAGCAGTTCACGTCAATCAATCCGAAGCCGCCACAGCTGAAAGAAAACCTGGGTGAACTAACACACAACCTGCTGGATCTCAGTCCAGATAAAGTGGTCTTCTATGTAGGAGGTTATCCCGATGACTTCAAAGTAAATATGCATTTTTTTTTCTCCTATAGGATTTTGTGTGATGATGGCTCTTTAATTCTTCGTGCATTTTTAAGTACATATGTGACCGTGGACCACAAAACCAGTCATAAGTGTACATTTTTTGACATTGAGATGTATGCATCATCTGAAAGCTGAATAAATAAGCTTTCCATTGATGTATGGTTTGTTACACTCTTAAAAATAAAGGTGCTTCAAAAGGTTCTTCAAGCGATGCCATAGAAGAACCATTTTTGGTTCCACAAAGAACCATTCAGTCAAAGGCTCTTTAAAGAACCATCTCTTTCTTACCTTTTTATAATCTGAAGAACCTTCTTTCGCCACAAAGAAGCTTTTGTGAAACAGAAAGGTTCTTCAGATGTTAAAGGTTCTTTATGGAACCATTTAGACAAAAAGGTTCTTCTATGGCGTCGTGAAGCACCTTTATTTTTAAGAGTGTAGGATCGGACAATATTTGGAATCTGGAATCTGAGGGTGCAAAAAAAATCGAAATATTGAGAAAATCATCTTTAAAGTTGTCCAAATGAAGTTCTTAGCAATGCATATTACTAATCAAACATTAAGTTTTGATATATTTACGGTAGGAAATTTACAAAATATCTTCATGGAACATGATCTTTACTTAATATCCTAATGATTTTTGGCATAAAAGAGAAATGTATAATTGTGACCCATACAATGTATTGTTGGCTATTGCTACAAATATCCCCCAGCGACTTAACACTGCTTTTGTGCTGCAGGCTCACACATGTTTGTTTTCTCTCTTTTTTAGCTGCCTGCCTCTCTCAACTATGGCAAATACAAGGGCTGCATTGAGTTTTCCACCTTCAATGACAAATTAATCAGTCTGTACAACTTTAAGAATGCAGTTAATATTAACTTAGAAACCCCTTGCAAGAGGTAAGCTCTCAACATGTGAATGGTGAGATGCTGATGCATTAATAAGTAATAATACAGTATATTCACAATATAACCAGTAATCACAGTCACTACATTTGCGTGTACATATTCAGAATAGTATTTAAAGATCACATGCAGCATGAATGGAAAACTGTATGAAATACATTTTATGAAAATGTAAGTAAAATCTGTTTCTATTTTCTCAGACAAATCCCACTGACAATCTTAGAGTCAGATTACTATGAAGGCACCGGTTACGCCAAAGTCCTGCTTGAAAGATCTCCCAACTATCTGTGGATCAATCAGAAAGTGAAAACGAGAGCTAAGGATGCTCTTTTGCTGTATTTAGGAGACGAGGAGAATGTAAGAATGTGGTCATACCTATTGAGCCTTTCTGATGTGTCTTTAATTAATACAAATTTCCCATAAAATTATTTTTTGAGATTTTCATTTTTTTGTTTTCTTCATACCCTATCAGGACTTTTTCTACAGCGTCTCTCTTGAGAAAGGCTACGTTGTTCTGCGTGGCCAAAACAAGATGAATATTTTGGAGCCTGTCAGCAGTCAAGATAAAGCAAGCCTTTCTTCGGTAAGGAAGAGCGAAGCTGACTTTTATGTACAACTTTATGTTGTACATAGTCACGGCAGTGACAATTCAATTGCGCTCTGTCTTTTGTATTTCAGGAAACAGATGTCAAAATCTTGATTATTGCTGGAAGAGAGTTTAAAGTCCGAGTTGGGAACACCGAGGTCAAAAGTACGGACATCATTCCACAAACGTTCAAGCACTTCTACGTCGGCGGGATACCAAACACTTTGCGTGAGAGGTCCGTGTCTTAATGTCTTCCCTTTGAAGGGACCATGAACTGCACTTTTTATTATTTGAGGTCTGCTTATAATGTTAGCAAGAGTTTTACATCATAAAAAACATCATAATTTAGAAGTAATAGGCTATTTTCTGTCCTGTTTTTGAGCCTCTCTGCAGATCGCTCTGTTTTTATAGGCGGGGGACATTCAAGACTCAAAACTAAACGTCCACTGCTATGACTGAACAGTTTTGCATATTAAAATAATAGTTGGACGCTGCTGTGATGTACTCTGCAATCAACATGGGTCATTTGGGTTAAAAACATATAAATTCTCAATACACATCAAACAATCAGGAGCAGACGATGCAGTAGTGGTAAAAACACAGTTACTCACGCTTATGTGTTGCGTCCGATTCAGCACTGCATCATCTTTTTTTTTCATTTCAGTCTCTCTGTAAAGCCTGTGTCGAACTGTCGTGTTTAAAAACAAGTCCACAGTAAAATGAAGCAAACAAACAAGCAGTGTTTCACTGACACGATCGGGAGCTCTTTCCTAAACACAACAGAACCCATTATAATCAGTGATTCTGTCCACACTGGATGTGATGTGGATGGACACAACAAATCCCTGACAGTCAGTGTTGGGGACGTTTCTTGCATTACAATGTTGTGTTACTCCCTAAAAAAGTAACTAATTACTTTACTTTTGCATTACTTTTTCTCGTCGGGGCTGGGCTTGCTTGTTTGTTTTTAATATAAAAAAGTTGTATTTTTGGCAAATGTGATCACTGACGGTCAGCAGCAAAGACATTGGTTAATAAAATTGCATTATATACGTGAATGACAGCATTCTAAACTAAAAAAAGTAATGCGTTACTTTACTAGTTACTTGCAAAAGTGATCTGATAGCATAACCTGCATTACCCGCAATACTGCCGACAGTAAACTGATGTCCCACTCTATTTCTAATAATAATAATTTGTATTTATATAGTGCCTTTCCAACACCCAAGGTCACTTTAGAAGCCAGGTTTAAGGAACAGAAACAAATAGACATCAATACCAGAAGACAGAACTCAAACCAAGAGCTGAGAGTAATATACAGAGACCACTGACAAAGTTGCATTAAAGATACAGAGAGAATGTAGATAAGCATCCATAACAGGGTACAGATATATATTTCTACATACGTATTTCTGATGTACTCCAAGTGCTCGCGCTGCTTGCGACATGAAACAGAAACGCATTCGCAGCGTGACGCAACAACGCTCGCATCTGATGCAGATACGGTGTTAAGATCACAAGGAAGGCAATTAATATACTGTTTTTCTCAACTTACCTGTTATATGTCAAAACATCGAGGGCAATTTGATTTCTCAGTTCATGACCCAGAACAAGTAAATGTGATTCTGACCTTTTCAGAACAATTGTATGATGGTTTATTAATTCTGAATTACTTTATTATAGATACAACATCACTATCCCGGCTCTGAAAGGCTGTGTGAAAATTGGCACCGCCGGCGGCCCCACCCCGAGCGTTGAAGAGAAAGTGGGCATCGGCAGAGGCTGCAATAATGAGCTACTGGTAATCCAGTCAATCTTTCATTATTTATATTTACCTTTAAAGGTAATATGCTAGCTTGGTTTCTTCAGCATTCACCCAGATGAAACACAGAAAGGTGTAATTTCTTATCCGTCGTGCTCTTTTCCAGATGGTGAGGAAAGCTGAATTCAGCCTCGGCAGTGCATTGGAGAAACTCCATGAAGACTTCAGCTTGGACGATGTCAGTCTTTCTCTGGGCTTCAGGAGTACAAAACCAGACGGCATCCTGCTGCAGAACAGCAAAAATGTGCGGATCTCTTCCACAGTTACACACACTATACGGTCAAATGCATGTGCACACTCTCTTCTAATTAGTGGGTTTGTCTGTTTAAGTAATTTAGGAGGAAAACTCTGAATGCTAATCCTTGTGTGTAAAAACAAAAATGTTCAGAAGAGGTATATAGATAGATAGATAGATAGATAGATAGATAGACAGACAGATAGATAGATAGATAGATAGATAGAGAGAGAGAGAGAGAGAGAGAGAGAGAGAGAGAGAGAGAGAGAGAGAGAGAGAGAGAGAGAGAGAGAGAGAGAGAGAGATAGATAGAGATATATATAGATAGAGAGAGAGAGATGATAGATAGATAGAGAGACAGACAGATAGATAGATAGATAGATAGAGAGAGATGATAGATAGATAGATAGAGAGAGAGAGAGAGATAGATAGATAGATAGATAGATATAGAGAGAGATAGATAGATAGAGAGAGAGATAGATCAATTTTATATATAATATACTTTATACCAATATATTTTTTGGCCATTTTTTGTATATTTTGGAAAATATAATTTAAAAATATAAATAATTTTTAAGGCATTTAAAAATATATATTTTGCCCTCCATATATTTCAGTCCAAGAAAATACATTAGCATTAGTCACATTTGAAGAAATACTTTATTTGTTGTCTATAGCATGTATGGAAACATACTTTACAATGTTCCAAAAAAACTACAATATCACACACACACACACATACTGATATATATATTAATTTTTTTTTTTTTTAATTAAAAACAAGCAAAATTATTATTATTTTTTTTTTTTTGCTGTGTGGGGTGTCTTGTGCAAGATAATCTGACCCTTTAAAATGCATATGCCAAGTGACACAAACTAGTTAATTAATTGTAGCAAAATAATTTCTATCCCTCTTAATATCTCTTAAATATCTCTAAAATATAGAATGTGAGTACATTTTCTTCTAACTTTTTTTATGTTAAGCTTCCTATTTTATATGAGTTTTAAACAAAATAATCCTATATCACAGTCTGCTTTTATAGAAGACTTGCATATCACGTCTCATTGTGTATTTATCATCGGCGCTGTGATTTTTCTGTGGCAGAATAAAGACATTGAGCTTTCCATGGAGAGCGGATATGTGCTCCTGAAATTCCAAGGCAGCGTCTGGAAATCTACTAAGCAGTACAGGGATGGAGAATGGCATTATCTCACTGTTTCTGGACAGGGCCAACGGTAAGATTCATTGGCCTGGGAAAACAGATCATTTGAAGTTGTTATATAGTTTTGCCGATTGCAGTAATTAATATGATTTGACAGCGTACAACAGTAACATTTGCATTTTGTAACATTCACTTTTGGTGGAAAATAACAATGAAAACACAAGTTGTAGCCAGTGGGGCTCATTAAATTAAATAATGGTTTAGAATGCAAACAATTCTCCATATATTTATAAATGCAGACACATGTAATTATAAGCATTTGAAGTGCACATAAGTTTTCCTATTTTTTTTTCTTCATACTGATGTTCACCTTTGTTTTAGCACTGAACTTCGAATCGATGAAGAAGATGTTGGCCAGAGAGTGACGGGATCTTCATCTGGACTGTATTCGTCCAGCGTGATCCTGGGCAAAGACACCTTTAAGGGCTGCATCTCCAACCTTTATCTGAGGAGGTCATTATTTGCAACATTTATTGAACTTTCTGTGTCTCCACTTGCTTAAATGCCCTCATAAACCTATATTTACATTGTGTGTTCAGTGTCAGCTCATGTGTGTGTTTGTGTGTCTGCAGACCTGATTCTCTATATAGAGCGGAGGATCTGAGCGCTTACTCTTCCACAGGAGACGTGCTGTTGAACACATGCAGCGCCGCACGCGATATGTAGCAGCATAGCTGGTTGGTTTAATATCACGATTAAAGCAACATGACAACATTGTGTTTTGATTTAACAGCAAACTCAGTGTCTGCTTTGTGTTGCTTCCAGAGGCGAGGAGTATCTGACGCAGACATTTCACATGGAGATCTTTGGAAGAAATGCTGTTATATTACAGCATAACCAACTCACTTTAACCAGCTGCTGCATTGCATATATTTTCATGGCACATCTGTGGTAGTTTTAATTTCATTGTCCCATTAGAGATATAACAACTGCATTGTAAAAGATAATCAAATGACAATTTAGCAATTCTGGAAACTTCTGCTGTGTTATTGAGCTCATCTAAGTTGGCTTGAGAGAATGCTTGCCTGTACTTTTACACCACATTTCAGATTATGCATTGTGTTTAATAGCATTTTGTGGTGATGAAACACAATAAAATGTTAAACATGGAATACAACTCCTTTGCATTGCTATGGCTTACTTAATAGCTATAATTCTATGTGGACAAAGTTTTAGACTAATATTTGGCTGCTACAAGTTAAAGTGCATTAAATCTTGCATGGATATTATACACACTCACCAGCTACTTTATTAGGTAAAGCTGTTCAACTGCTCATTAACACACATATCTAATCAGCCAATCACATGGCATTTAGGCATGCTGACATGGTCAAAACACATCTGCTGAAGTTCATTCCGAACATCAGAATGGGCAAAAGAAGGTGATTTAAGTGACTGGTCTGAGTATTTCACTGCTGATCAATAATGCATATTGGCTGTTTATTAGTACTTATGAAGCACAGATTCTGCATGACCATATTCTACATCCCTAATCCTACCCAATACCTAAACTTAACAACTACCTAACTACCCAGATAGCACACGCACATCTGCAAAATGTCTGTTAAAGATCGCTTCATCTGGAAAGCATCTGTATACAAACATCTGATAGACATCTCTAAGATGTCAGTTTTACATACATTCTAAAACATAAACATCTTAAAGACACTTTCTAAACGTTCCTATAGACATATTGCAGATGAGCAAACAAAAAATAAATAAATATGTCTCGCAGATGTAAATGCAGACAACAAATAGACATCTCTGTGATGTACGAGTGCTATCAGTGATAACTATTAATAAGCAGCAAATACCACACATACATCACGGAGACGTCACATAGACGTTCAGAGAACGTCTTTAAGATGTTTATGATTTAGAATGCATGTCAAATTGACATCTTAGAGATGTTTGCACAGAGCAGATGCTTTCCAAATGAAGTGATCTTTAACAGACCTCTTGCAGACGTACGTGCAGACGTACGTAATAGGAGTTTATTGAGGCAAAATTCATAGTTTTAGTTAGTTAATAGTGAGAACTGAACCTTGAAATAAAGTATGACCTATATATTCTAAAACATAAACATCTTAAAGACACTTTCTAAACGTTCCTATAGACGTATTGCAGATGAGCAAACAAAAAATAAATAAATATGTCTCGCAGATGTAAATGCAGACGACAAATAGACATCTCTGTGATGTACGAGTGCTATCAGTGATAACTATTAATAAGCAGCAAATACCACACATACATCACGGAGACGTCAAATAGACGTTCAGAGGATGTCTTTAAGATGTTTATGATTTAGAATGCATGTCAAATTGACATCTTAGAGATGTTTGCACAGAGCAGATGCTTTCCAAATGAAGTGATCTTTAACAGACCTCTTGCAGACGTACGTGCAGACGTACGTAATAGGAGTTTATTGAGGCAAAATTCATAGTTTTAGTTAGTTAATAGTGAGAACTGAACCTTGAAATAAAGTATGACCTATATTTTCAACTGGGTGAGAAAAATATGCCTTCAAAAGTGCATTCATTCATTAATTCGTTCGTTCGTTCATTCATTGCATCAGCATCATTGCACATGTTTTGCTGCATCCTCATTACATTTACAGGCTTTAACCAGCAGATATCCTCCGCTAGCACATCGAAACAGCAAATCACTGCGTGCTTTGATTCTCAAGACAAAAGTTGAAAGGTTCCGAGGCGTCTAAAGGCTGTAGATGGCGGTTATGTGCTGAATGGCGTTCAGTCTGACAGTCCACACGAGAGAAGCAGCAGATGTGTGTCTGTGGAGCTCCATCTGACTCAAGCTCCTCTCTCTCTGTTGTGTTTTCTGAACTAGAACAGCTATGGATGGCGAGGAGGAAAGCAAGCCTATAGGTAACTACCGTGCAGTCTTCTTCACAGTATTGCATTGCAATTTATAAACCATGTAGTATGGTTTTAAAGTGAGTGATATTTTCATCAAAGTGTCATTGAGTTTGAAAGGTTTTTGACTGTGAGAACTAGTCACTGGCTTTGTCTGCTTTCAGAAATGGCTTTTAAATTGACTTTAAAAAAATTGCATTTCTCGGTTTTTGATTCAGGTCATCAGCTCAACTACTACAACTACCTTCCTTACTTTTAATAAGCAGACAATTAGGAAAAACTGTTACTAGTTAATAGTGAAAGTGCTACTGGAATATTTAAAAGTTTACCAATGGACGGATTTGTACCATGTGCCAAGTTCCTCACACTTTATTTTCTTTAAATCAGTAAACAAAATGTTATTGGTAAATGGTTGCTGTAATTTCTAAAGTTACTTACTGCAAAATGCCCAATAAAATTATTTGTATGGTTCACTACTCTAATATGCATTGCATTATGGGTATTTGAATGACATTTAGTGACTGTATATTGGGGATTTTCAGCATTCTTTCGTGTTGCTGAAGTTAATGTCGGAAGTAAAGGAAAGTTTGTTTCCCTCACAGCATGAGCTACTTGACGCAATGTTGAGTGAACTGAATGGAAAGAGAACTATAATGTTGGCTTCAGCTACTTTCATTGAAGAATCAAAAGCCCTACAGGTTTGGAATGACATGATGGTGAGTAAACGACGACAGATTTTCATATTTGGGTGAATCATCTCTTTAATGACTGGTAACATCTTGAGTGTAGAGAAAGAAAGATAAAACTTGTTTTTAAGTAAAGAATATGTTAATATACAACACATAATATTGGTTGCTTGTAGATAAGAGTGTCTTCGGAATTCGGAATGGAATGCACTATTAACCTTTCAGGTGCCGCACTCGATGCACAAGTGCTGTTCTTTCACTCCAACTTCATGCTCTACCTCCACTGCCACTCCAGCCCAAGTTCAGCAGGAATCCTCGACACCACCAACTCCTACTTCCACACCGTTATGTACTTCCTCCTCTCCGGGCTCTGCTCTGGTAAGTGCAGCGGGTTCCTTCCTATTCCCCAACGAATGATGCAAAAATTGTATTATCATCTCCCTTCTGTCTAGCAGTGCTACAGTGGGCCACCATGATTTGAGAGCAAGGTGCCCCTGCTACTCCCTCCACCACTGCATTTTACAGAGGTCTTAAGAAACTGTTCCACCACGTCCACTGTTCCAAATTTGGCCTGCATTTATTTGGAAGGTATGGAAGGCCTTCTTCTCACCCTTTGGTGTGTCTGTCAGCCTCTCATAAGGATATCACTTGCAGACAAATGGACAGACATAAAATAAGATCCAGGAGACTGGCAGCTTCCTCTGAACTCACTGTCATCGCCATCCACTCACTAGAGTCATTATCTTCCTTGGCTGAGTGCGCTCAAAACTCACTTCATCAGTTCTTACCCCTTCCAGTGCGGCTGGGGGGATTGTACTGTCACACCTCCATCCTCAGTCACGTTCCATGAAAATCTAACCATCTGCACCTGAAAACAATCACCATCGCTTGTTAAGGACTGCATATACAGTATATTCACCAGTGACCAATGATACTGTCTCACCTATACTCTCAGAAAAAAAGGTACAAAAGCTGTCACTGGGGCATTTTGGACCAGCTGGATTTTTGTTTATTAGGCGCACAGAGCAACCTCCCAATAAAGCAAGATGGAAAATATGGAAAAATTAAGTTTTACAAATGCAAGAAACATGGTTTTCAAAGGAAAGATTGCTATTGAATAGCACACCTAGGTTCCTAACTGATGATGAGGAATTAACCGAGCAGCTTTCAAGTGTTAGACAGTGTTTTAGGTTATTACATGCAGAGGTTTTTGGTACAATAATTAAAACCTCAGTTTTTTTTCAGAATTTAGCATTAGGAAATTACTAGTCATCCAGTTTTTTTATATCAACTATGCATTCCGTTAGTTTTGCAAATTTGTAGGTTTCATCGGACCGCGAAGAACAGTGAAAGCTAACACCATGTTTCTTGAAGATATCTCCGAAGTGTAACGTAAAGTGTGAAAAGCAACGGTCCTAGTACTGAGCCTTGTGGCACTCCACACTGTACTTGTGATCAATATGATATCTTATCATTCACTGCTACGAATTGATGATGGTCAGATAAGTAAGATTTGAACCATGACAATGCAATTCCACTAATGCCAACATAATTTTGTAGTCTACTCAAAAGAATGTTGTGGTCGATAGTGTCAAACGCAGCACTAAGATCCAGTAGCACTAATCTGCTCATGTGAGAGAATTGATACAGTGCTTCAGAATACAATTATGTGGGGGTAATCGGTTACTACCCAGTGGATGGGCAGTATTTCAGATACGTGTATTTAAAATACGTATTTTGTATTATAAAGCCTTTGAAAAAAAATCTAATATGATTTGCATTTAAGTTAATTTTTCTACACATTATTTTGTATTTGTGTTTTAAATTCATTTTCATGTATTTGTGCCCATCTCTGCTGCCTAGCTCTGTCCATAGGCAACTTAGGAAGTCAAGGATGTTGTTTTTTTTGTTTTTATTTTATATTTCACTACAAGATTGGCAACAAAAAGCAATTAATACATGAACATTCTTACATATAGCCCCTTTAACATTTGCATTGGCATCTGAAGTGCAGGGAAACTGGCTGCCTCAACTAGCATGAGCTCATTGCATAACAGTTGTTTAGAGATCACAAGGATGGTGTGTGAGAGTGAAAAGAGAGCAGCCCATTCATCACTGGAAAGTTGGCTGGTGCGCAGGCAAAATGATACTGGAACTGCAGGCCAGGGGGTCGCAAACCACCCCCAAATGTCCTGGGACAAACTGTTCTGGCTGGACGGAGGGGGTGATCAAGGGTCCCCTGCCGAATGGGTGTCCCGATGTCAGGCTGCACTCACTCACACTCTGTTTATTCGTCCATCTTCGTGCATCTTTGGAACTATCTGTTATTCATAAATCAAATCTTATAAACAGCATACAAGCTGCTCGTCTCTCTGTCAGTGTACATACAGTACATTTACTCACTCTGATGCAACAAGCACATTGTTGTGACATAAAAAGATACACCTGTCTTGGAATACATTGGACGCTTTTATTGACAATATACTGTAAATGGTGTTTTATTGTGTACTTGTTGTTCTACAGTGCGTCGAATTAGTGTATAGCCAGTACAATAATGCTAAAGGAATAATTCAGCCAAAAAATGTAATTTGTTGTAAATATGCTCACCCTCGAGCCATCCGAGATGTAGATGAGTTTGTTTCTTCATCAGATTTGTAGAAATGTAGCATTGCATCAGTGTCTCAGCAATGGATGCTCTGCAGTGAATGGGTGCCGTCAGAATGAGAGTCCAAACAGCTGATAAAAACATCACAATAATCCACAAGTAATCCACAGCACTCCAGTCCATCAGATAACATCTGGAGAAGACAAAAGCTGAAACAAATCCCTCACTAAGACGTTTTTAACTAAAATACGAGTCCATAATCC